TGTAGTAGTATTTATTGATCTTTATTAGGACGAAAAATTGGCGAAAAGTGAGATGTCAATGATAAAGATGTGAAAGAACTAGGGAAGTAAACTAAAAGTTGAAAAGTTGCTTCAAAGTTTTCAAGTAACCCATTGTACAAGTGTTACTGATTAAAAAAATCGCTGGAAGACACACCATGTTTTTCGTTCCGATCTTGAGAAAAAAAATGATGCGGTTATAGTGTTATTGGGTGGACATTTTGTCCATCAGGGAGTGACTGAGCTAGAATGATTTTTCGTCACAAAAACAGACGAAAAATCTCAGTTGATTGTGCCCCAACAATTATGTTGTTTTCCTGTTTAAGACACGGCAACTTGTTTGACCTCAACTGAAAAGCGTCAAGCATGCATAAAGCTGTCTCTTAGCAATATAGACTGTTATGGGCAATTAGCTGATTCCTACTTCTCCCGCATCGATTCATCAATTGTATTCTTTCAAGTCTGTGTTCTTCTACAAAGGCAACCAATATTTAAGGAATCTCATTAAGAAAGGAATGTTGATAAACGCTAATATACTTCGGTATGCTATGCACTGCTGTTTAAAAACATGGAATGTTGACTTGGTACCTTCTGCAGTAACTGCGTTTGGAGACCATGATGGACAGTCTTCACGCCCTATGGGATAGAGTTATCGGTGTAAGTTGTTTTGTATTTTCCAATGAAAAGAGTGGGTCCATGCTTTCCTAGTTTCCTCTTATCCAAAAAAATTCTTAAGAATAAACTTTATTACATTCTAAAAACGAACAAGGAAAAAATTTTGTCCATCAGGGAGTGACTGGTGAGCTAGAATGATTTTTCGTCACCAAAACAGACGAAAAATCTCATTTGATTGTGCCCAACAATTATGTTGTTTTTGTGTTTAAGACATGGGAACTTGTTTGACCTCCACTGAAAAGTGTCAAGCGTGTATAAACCTGTCTCTTAGAAATATAGCCTTTTCTGGGCAATTAAATGTTTCTTACTTCTGCCGCATCGATTCATCAATTGTATTCTTTCAAGTTTGCATTCTTCTACAAAGGCAACCAATATTTACGGAATCTCATTAAGAAAGGAATGTTGAAAAACGCTAATATACTTCGTTATGCTTTGCACCGCTGTCAATTAACATGGAATGTTGACTTGGTATCTTCTGCAGTAACTGCGTTTGGAGACCATGATGGACAGAGTTCACTCCCTATGGGATAGAGTTTTCAGTGTAAGTTGTTTTGTATTTTCCAATGAAAAAAGTGGGTCCATGATTTCCCTAGTTTCCTCTTGTCCTAGAAATCCTTAAAAATAAAAATTTCTCACATTCTAAAAACGAACAAGGAAAAAACATTATCAATTGTCGTTAGGGAACGAGTAAATGTTAGCATATCTTCTTGCACGCTACGCGAATGAAACTTCCTCAGCATCGACTAGGGTGTGGAGCAAGAACTTGGTAGCTAATAATCCACACGGCGTAGACATCCAAGAATGGTCGACAAAATGTCACTATCTTATCAATTTATTCGCCAACTCAGTTTACGTTTACGTTTTCGCCGACTCAGCATACGAAGAAGCGTAGACGAAGAAACAAACTCACGGACATAGTTCAACGAGAGGGAAGACAATTTGCTCCCCGGGGACGATTTTATCCAGGAACTGTTCATATGACGAACAAAAAGCATAGTCTTCAGTTGGTTCTAAGTTTGACGACTGTGTTTGATCAGCAAACTATCTCTCCTTTTGTACAGCATTTATGTCCGTGCTAGTAGCACCTCTTTTCAGGGGTCTCCGTTTTCACACGCAACTGAGTATATTAAAGAAGAAGGCGAATTCAAACACCAGAAAGCTCAGAAAAATTTTCCGAATTCTTTTCGGACGCTCTAACCACTGAGCTACTAGAACTCTAATGTCGAGCAGGGTCGGAATTATATTTAGAAGCTTTATTTGTTTACATTCACAATAAATAAAATTACAATTACAGACTACCTGCAAAATAGCAGAGCTAATCGAGGCAGGTAGTATGGAGACGTGTCTATTAAATTATACAATCTTATTCTCATGACATAAAGATATAGAATAATTACGAAATTACCGAGATTAATTACATTAACGAATTCAAACTATATTATTCCAATGACATAAAGATACAAGATATACATTAATTACGAAAGTACAGACGAGATTAATTACAATAATTTAATAATGAATTCAAAATACAACAATTCAAAGCAGCTACAGGAGGGATAGATGTAGATGTAGAGGCAGATATAGAGGCCAACGGAGCTTGAAGCACATTAAATAGAAACAAGAAAAGTTTAAATTCTTTTTAATTCATTTATTAACAAAAGAAAAGTTTAATTTCCTTTCATTTCATTTATTAACGTACCTATATCAAGATAAGAATCCTGCTTTAAGAAGATTTGAAATAGGATTCAGTTTGTTTTCTTGAATCTATATTTTGGGAACTGTCTCATAACATCTGGAATACTGTTCCAAAATTTTGCACCCATAATGGAAACAGAGTTCTTGTAGTGATTTAGTCGAGAGTAGTTTATATAGAAATTACCAGCGAAAGAAGAACAGGTGTCGTAATGATGAAAATCTTTAGTGGGGGTAAAAAGATCAGAAATGTTAGATGGCACGACTTTACGTGAGTAAGGGTAAAGGCAAAATATTAGTAGAGATAAAAAGTGGAAAAGCGTGAACACTAAACTTTGCAAAATTCATCAAACGGACAACCCGTTTTTGAAGAAGTAATATCTTGTTTAGATGTGTTTTGGCTGCCTGTCCCCAGGCAATAAGGCCATAGGAAATACATGGAGAAATCAGAGATCTATATATGTTAAGCAAAGTTACAAAGGGGGTGAAATGCCTTAGCCTGGCTATTATACCGATATTACTACTGATCTTAGAAGCGATGTGGCTGATATGATATTTCCAACAAAGATTACTATCCATCACGACCCCTAGGTACTTAACATATAACTTACGTTCTATACTTATCAATCTATTTATTTGATTGTCATAGATCTTAAGTTAAACTTCATAATCTAAACGTTTTTGATACGGGTGAAAGATAGCGAAATTAGTTTTCTTTATATTTAAGAATAGTTTATTGATTACACCACGAATTCCGTAATGAGACAGCTTATGAAGTAGGATATCAGAATAAACTGTATCGAATGCTTTTGCAGATCGATGAAGAACCCACATGAAAACATACCCTTGTCCATGTTTCTTTGAATTCTATTTACAATGTCTAAGATGGCATGTTCCGTTGAACATCTTTCACGAAAACCATATTGATAGTTGTAAAATATATTATGTTTGTTTAAAAATTGTTTTAGACGATGATACATAATCTTTTCAAAGATTCCATTGAAGACTGAAAGAAGAGAAATAGGTCGATAGGGTCAGTTTCATCACTATCTTTAAAAATGGGGATAATAACAGCATGCTTTAATTTAGAGGGGAAGGATTCCCTCTCAACTGAAATGTTTATGAGAGTCGCTAGAGGTTTAGATATTATAAAACAGACGAGCGGGACAGGACCACAGTCCGTGCGATTTATTAGACGGGGTCCTCATTTAATTCTAATTCAATTTCGGTTGACAGGACCGGCTCAAAAATTAAACAAACGAGCCATTGGCATCAATTTTTGGTAAATATTGCGTGAATAGTTTGTTGCTATTTGGAATGCTTGATGCGAGTCTAGGCCCTACAGAGGCAAAGTGCATGACCGTTTAAGATATTTGCGTGGATCTTGAGATAGTTGATCGTCATGACGCCTAATTGAACCAACTGACTTGCGATTCTTCTTGTTCCTATTAATAAGACTGTTCATACCGCCCCACATTCTTTTTGCATTGTTGATATTTTCTTCAAAATAATTGTGAGAATAAAGTCTCTTACTGAGGCGAGTAAGGATTAGAATCTTATTTTGATAGAATTTGTACAGGTTTTTGCTATGCCATCATTGAAGAGTTTATTTTTAGTTTCAATAGATTTGCGTAAACCTATCCACGGTTTTAACATTTCTTTCACTTCGTTTAGAAATAGTTTTGAAAGGGGCGTGTTCATGATTTACAACTTTATTTATGGTATAGAGGACAGAGAATAACTTGTCATCATTAGGTTTTCTCTCAGAAATTAAAGTTTACCAATCAATCTGTGATTAATCATGTAAAACATTTTCCTCTGAAAAGTGTGAGTAATCACGAATAGAGCATTTCACGTTTTTACCAATTACTGTAAGAGAGTGCAAAATACAAAATTGAGTAAAGTGGTCAGCAATATCCGAAATCACATAACCACTAATAATATCACCATCAAGTTTATTTGTAAATATATTATCAGTTAAGGAGAAGGAGTTGTTTTGCTCTCGAGTAGGCTTATCGATAGTAGGGATCAAGTTGAAGCTCTGCAAGGAAAAAAGGACGTTTTGAGCGTAATTACAATACGAGCAATGAAGAAGATTAATATTTGTGTCGCCAGTGTAAATAAGAAGATACTTTTTCCAGAGGCGGGCGACGTTATTTTTAACATAACAGAAGGGGGTTAGAACTAATTTTTTTCTTTTGGAGGGGGGTACTGTCTAAGTTTTTGCTAGATAACTCTATTTTTTCAGCCCCCCCCCCCCTCCTGATAATTATTGCGCAGTCCCTAATCAACAGTGCTAATGCCTCTGGGGGAAGGAAACGTTTTTCCAAAAGAATCCCCTGTTGTTCTTACGTTTAAAATTCTCAGATCGCATGCTTTACAAATTTCAAGTAAAGATTGGCCATGTTCATTGACGTGGAAATCATATTTTTTTCTTTGCCGTTGAGCGTGTAGGGGAGGCAGGCTATCATCACCTGGGATATGTGTGCAGGGATCGGTGTCAACGTAATCTAGTCCACAGCCAGTTCTGGCATTTAGGTCACCAGTCAACATAATAAGGCCTTCTGAACTAAATTTAGCAATGTCGGTCTGCAGGTCGTCAAAAATATCAAGGTTAAAATAGGGGGAATCTCTAGGGGGGACATAAATTGCACATAAAAATATACCCTAATTTAGGTTAAAGAATGTGTTTTCGAGTTTGGCCCAAATGAAATGTGGATTGGATGCAATTAGTTTGATACTTTGTTTGATCGCAAGTTTAAACCCAAGGGTAATGCCACCAGAAGAACTGCCACTTTTCTTAACATGATGTTTACTCGTATGTTTTATACTAGGACGGTTAAATAATTCATAACAAGGTAGACAAAAATCATCGTTTCTCCAGGTTTCGGTTAAAAGATCATGATATCGCAATGGTTTAAGTATTTAACAGAATCATCACTTGAGATTTTGTCGCTTAAAAAGAAAGTTTGGGACAACCCGTTTGAGGTTCCAATTTGAAATGGATAGTAAATTTGAGTTAAAAACAGACATAACCTATTAAGAATACTTAAGTTAAATGCAGCGAAGAAACTCCTAAAGGAAATGGATGAAAATCAGAACAAAAGGGATATAAATCATCACTCAGGAGTGGCGCGTAAGTTCATAAAGTTTCAAAACAGTGGTAATATCCAATGATGGTGGGTTTCCATTTGTTGGTGACGTGTTATTGGGTTGAGGCATTCTGGTCACCGAAGCCGATATGAAGGTTAGATGGTGTAAGCCGCTTGCGGTCGGGGTTGTGCAAAAGTATGTTCTGGAGAAGGATGTGGGACAAAGATTAGCATGGTTTATAGTAGGGCTGGCTTTGTGGTCTAGAAGGTTGTGCTTGTGGAGCTGGTGTCTTTGGGGGTGCGTTGTTCTGTCTAAGAACTGGTCTGTTTGTCCTGTTTAAGAGTACGTCTTTGAAGTTAGCAACCAACACTCCGATTTTGCGCCTTTTAATATGTTTAAATTTGTTATCGCGTAAATAATCAGTGGGTATATCGTCATTTTTCACGAGATGTACATTTGGAAATTAAAGGAAATTAAGCAACATAAGAGCTTAAAATAATTTCAATACCATTTCCCTTTTTCTAATATAGCTTGCCGTTCGAAGTCCTAAATTCTGTTCGAAATTTCAAGACCGACGACGTCCGAGATGCGCCATCTTGTCTCACGAGCCGAAGATTGCCGAAGCAACTCTCGTTTCTAGTCCTCCTCGATCACCTCCTTCTGAGGGATTCCATCCAACCACGCCAAAAACATATTTCCCGTAAAATTCCGAAAATAAGCCCCTCCATGTAGAAGTCCCCGAAACTCGTAACGCAAAAAACCCTCCGTTAAATCGCCCCTCCAAACATAGGCCCCGCAAGGGCCTGTACTTGGAAATTGCCCTCAGATACAAAGTAAAATAAAGCAAATACGGTAAATGTCCTTCCAGGTATAAAGCTAGCCCAATCGATTTTGAAACGCAAATTTCCCTGCATAGATAAGCCCCTCCGAATATAAGCCCCTCAAAAAGGGTCTTTGAAAAGTATAAGCCCCAGGCGTTGAAATTCGTTTTCGGATTTCGCGTTCGATTGCAAATTCGAAATCCTGATTTCAAAATCTACATCCAGATTTCCCAATCGACAGACGCTAAGGATGTTCCAGTTCCAGTTTCTTTTTTTACTGGAACACTCAAGGAAAAGCCGGCAAGGAATCTATAATGTTTATTTTCCTGGGCCTGCGATTTAAATAGGAATTTGCACGGGTCTAAGGTGTGTAAAAATATACATACCTCATATATTAATTTTCTGAAACTTCAGGTCTTTGGTGAAAAAATATGTGATTTTTATTTCAGAAAGTTCTGTAATATTCACGATATAAATTTTTAAAGTGACAGTTAGTTCTTCTACCATAAAAATTTTAAATCTAGTGACTGTTCTGTTTTAGCGGCCTGCCTCAGAAAATTTTAAACCTGAATTTCCCCGATTGTCGTTGGACCATGCATCCATTAAGCCCATCTATGACGTAGTGGTTGTTGGATCAGGGTATGGAGGGTCGATTGCGGCCAGCCGTTGTGCAAGAGCTGGTCAGACTGTGTGTGTGTTGGAGAGAGGGAAGGAGTGGCATCCTGGTGAGTTTCCAGAGTCATTCCTTGCGGCCTTTAACGAAATTCAAATCCATCCTGGCGGGAAAAATACAAAAGGTAATGCTTACTAGTCATGAATATATTTATTTGCGTTATTAAGCAGTGGAGTAAACGTTCATGAAATTTAACACAGTTAATAACCAGGCGTGCAGGCGTTAGTCAGTGGTCAGTCAGTGGCTCAAGCGCGGTCAGCCGTGATTGCATCATCTTCATGTGCTTAGTACAGCGTTTCCTTGCAGCCACTCTTCTTTATTTAGCCTTTGCATTGGATCATTATTTTACCCCCATCCCTCCCCCCTCTTTTTTTTCCACTGATAAATCAGAGTGACGGGTGCTTGGTTCCGTTGGTGTGGGGGATCATTGGCTGGAGGGCACGGGTCTACCAGCCATGGGGGTGTATCTCTGTCTAGGGGCTGTCTTTGCCAAAAGTGGAAGCCCCTGGATATCCCAAGCACCCACCTCCACTAAGCGACGCAGTTGTTAATTATTTAATGATCCCGCTGAGAACGAACACAACAACCAGAGAGCGCCCTGGAGATTGAGCTAATGCCGCATGCTAGCAGTTAACATGTTGGAATGCAAAGAGGTGCTAACTTTACTATTGTCTGTACTTCTGATGTATTAAAAAAGCCAACTGATTTACAAAACTTTGCAAAGCAGCATGTATACTTATGCTCACTGAGTCTAACTTTCTTATTACAGAATCTGCACCAAGTCTAAATAACACCGAGATCTTATAGGATTGGTTGAACCTTTTAAGACAAAGAAACACTCTTACAAAATTGAAGTTAAAATAGAATTTTCATAAAAACGTCTTTTACTTAGGTTTAAATAATTGACATTTTATGTAAAGAATGAAATGTATATTCATAACTCTGCAATCATATAAAATCCACCTTGCAGGGGAACCGTCCAGTCTATATGAGTTCTATGTCACTGAGGACTTAAGCGTTGTCCAGGGGTGTGGTCTTGGAGGAGGTTCCCTCATAAATGCCAATGTTGGCCTTGATGCTGATCCTAGAGTGTATGAGGACCAGTCATGGCCATCAGAACTCAAGCAAGACCTTGAAAGCCTAATGACAATTGACCGTAAGCATGTGGTAGATATGTTGAAACCCACCCCTTATCCAGATCATTACCCTAAACTGGACAAAATAAAGCGGATGGAAGATGGCTTTGGTGCATGCGATATTGAGGACATTGACAAGACCTATTACAAAACTCCCCTTTATGTAACATTTGAGGACAAACCATCCAATCATGTTGGAGTTCCACAGCCAAAGTGCACTGGCTGTGGAAACTGCTGCGGTGGTTGTAATGTTGGTGCAAAGAATACTCTAAACATGAACTACTTGCCTGATGCCAAGGCTCACGGGGCAGAGATATTCACAGAGGTACAGTAGGACCTGAGTTGTCACTAGGACAATTCTTAATAGGCCCAGTTCAAAAATTGAACTTCTCGTTTTTCGAACCTAATCATTTCACAACCTCGTTCCCAGGGTTCTCTCCTGGGAACGAGGTTGATCACTTCAATTAAGTGCATGAAAATATCAACATTTGGATCATTTGATCACAGTCCGACATATTTACTTGGGTTGACCCATGAATTAAGTTCGAGTGGCCCACATGGGAATTTTGAGCGACTTCGCTTCAAACGTCGAACTTTTCATGTGCCGAATCTAATGAAAATCTAATTTAATTTATTTTGACTAGTGAGCTTCGTAGACCATTGCACATTGTGAAAATGAATGTAGGCCGACGTCTATTCCAACGTCTAGTCCGATGTTTAGTTGTCTGAATCAACCATCAAACGTACATCATTTTGGTCGACCCAAATAGGTATTAAGTTCGGTACATGAAAAGTTGCACTTTTGAACTGGTCCTTATTTACTGAAACATGAGTAGCCGCAGTCGTAGCACTTGGGCCATAAATCAAACGAAAAAGTGAGGATCTATGATATTAACAGTTCATGGTCCACAGAAAAAAGGCCAGTAAGATGTTTATAATATTGCTAATTCTTTAAATCAATAAAGCACCTGATAGTGAATTTACAGGCCTTTAAAAGTTAATGAATTTTTTATTAGTTGTAAGAGCAAGCAAATGAGGACAGTACGTATCATTGTAAGAGCTACCAGTAATTTACAAGTTGGAAAGCTACAAATATACCTCATTTTGATGACTTTTGTGTCAAGATGAACACACTTAAAGTAACCTGGCAGAAGTGATAGAAAAGGAAAGATCTTTTGCATTAAACTTAGGAAATGACTCAGCCATTATGATTTAGAAGTAGTTCTTACTAAATGAATTGTCAGGTAAATGTGAGCTGCAAGTTGTGGACCAGAAATTACCATAATGTACCCCCAGAATTTGCACTGTACTAGTAGAATTTTACAAAAACAATGATAGGGTTATCTCTCAGTTCTACCAGCTTTGAAAGATATCAGCTTACCTTATCAACTATCTGTCAATAGAAATCTCTAGTTCATTGGACCATTTGCTTGGGCTATAGTCAATATTGTTAAGCCCTTGGCATCATGAAATTTTTATTACGCTGATTACCAATCTTTTAAAGGTAGAAGTCATCTCAGTAACCAAGGTACCTGGCACTGCTGAGTGGATGGTAAAATACAAGCGGCTAGTCAGGGGCAGTTTCACTGTTGAAGAAGAAACCATACGAGCTACTCATGTCATCATAGGTGCAGGAGCACTTGGCTCTACCAAACTGTTGCTTCGATCTAGAGAGCGGGGGCTTAATGTATCTAACCAAATAGGAAAGAACTTCTCCACAAATGGCGATGTCTTGGGTTTCAGCTTCAATGGCGCAAAGAAGGCCAACTCTGTTGGGCTAACAACTCAACACATGGCAAGAAATAAGAAACCTCCAGGCCCTTGCATAACCTCTGTTATGGATTTCAGAAAAACTAATGGAAACCACAAAAAGGGCTTCGTAGTTGAAGATGGAACACCTCCATCGGTGATTTCTGGTATGTACTCTGTTGGTTTGTCGGTTGTAGCCAAACTGATCGGGATTGAGAAATACTCCTCAGCTGAATTACTGGAAAGGGCATGGCAGGTAGGAGTTGTGACAAAAAAAATAAATAAATTTTTTCAGACCTCGATGGTGGAGGGCTTAAAAGCACCTCTGCTTTTTGAATCTCTTTGTGAAATCTTTTTTATTGTTAACCCAGTTAATAATAATTATTAAAACTAAATTAATTTTGTGGAGGCCTTAGCACTCTAAATGTGTGTCTAGTATTTACGTTTGTGACATTTTAAGCTCAACACTTGGTGAATAATAATTGCCAGTATACTAGAGTTTCCTTCAATAATATTAAGGATTTTGAACCAATATGTTATAGAACTGAGTTAATAGAAACAGTTTTTAACACTTTTAGGAACTAAAGGGCAAAGGAATCAACAAAAGCCTTGCTTTTTTGTGCATGAGCCATGATGATGCAAGCGGTATCATCACTTACGATAACACTAACGACAGTGTTGACATTACCTGGAAGAGAGTTGGCTATGAGGAAAACTTTGTGACTTGCAATCAGGCAATGGAAAAAGTCACTGCAGGTCTCAGCGGGACGTTTGTGCAAAATCCCATGTGGACTCCTGCTCTTGGTAAAAGTGTCATCTCAGCACATCCTCTTGGTGGCTGCCCCATGGGAGAATCTGGACAAACTGCTGTGGTAAACCATGCTGGACAAGTCTTTGATGGTAATTAAGCACAGTATTTACTCCATTAAAACTACGGTATATTTAATTAGGGTAACCTAAAAAGAACTATCTACAAAAGGAGTATAAAAAAATTTGTCCTACGCCGATTCTTCGCACATTATTTAGTTCTTTTTGAAACACGTTATAGTCCTTGCTTAAAGTGGCAACGTCACTGCATTTAGAGCGCCCTCTTACAGCGCTGTATCTCATTGTTTATAAAGATGAGCGTTTCGTTTCTATGATCTGTGTAATAACATTACTGTTTTTATTTTGCAAGAGGATTAACTTGTTGTAAAATGTGAAATAATGATATCCATTTTTGTTGTATGATTTCAAATCATATAATTTGGCAAGTTTCTCTGGTGCTGGCAAAGCTGGAGAAATTCCTGCCTGATTTACACATTAGATCAAAGGCATACAGTTCAATTGACCGTGTTCCAGAATAATAAAAAATTTAAGAAATAAACTCTTAAAATCACTCATTTTGGCATTCATTGCTTTGAAATAGCTAGAAATCTGCTTGAAATAAAATATCCCTTTGCATGTAGCGATTAAGTGGCCCAAAAATCATGGCACAGGAAATTTGCAACAAAACTTTTGCGTATTCTTATTCTGGAATGCGATCAATTAAATGCATGTCAAGTTAAAAGTAATGCTTCTGAATTTTCTTAAATTCAGGGAATAATCATTACTCACCAATTGTTATTCATGGGGATTTTCCGGGTGCTGGAACAATTCCCGGGGGGGGGATCCTCCTGATTTCATGTGACGGGAATAATCGAATGGGGGAAAAATCAGAACCCCCAAAATTCCCTCGACCAAACATTAATCCCAAAAAATTCCCATGCTGAATTTCCAAGCCTTGTTAACTGTTTTTATGAAACAGATGCAATATAATGAATTAATTATTAAAACAGTCGCTAAACAAGGTGGCCGGGGAACGTGGGCACTACCACGAATCTTGAGATTGTTTTGAACACCCAAAACAATCCCTACTTAAATCAAGCCACCTAAAAAATACTTGCCAAATTTTCCAACCCAAAAAAATAACGGATTTGAAAATTTCAATTCCAAAAAAATCCTTCAATCATCCCTGTCACTTGAAATCCGCAGTAACCCAACTGGTCACTCATTAAGGAAATTGGTAATCACGTGACCGGACACCGAACGACCGTCCGTCGGCACCAAACGCATACCAATGTAAAATAACTCAATCAACAGGTATGGCAACCGAAATGCAACTCGAGGTTATTTTGGCAGAAAATTGCATAGCCACCCGCGTCTTGTAAAGCAGAGACAACTAAAGAGTCAATAAAGACGAAAACGGAAAATGGAAATTCTTTCTGTATTCTTGTTGTCTAAAGCATTACGCTTAGATTATTTGTCAGGTCCACAAATTTGGAATATAGAGCAAGAGAAAGACAGAGAAAAAGAGGAAGTAGGCGGCAGGCCAGCGAAGCTCAACGAAAAAAAGGGGGACAGAGATCTAGAGCGAGAGATAAAAAAAAACAAAGGATACATTAAGGGGGGGCTGGCAACGGCCTTTGATCTTGCCGCTTTTCGTTTTTCCATGATCTCCCCAGTTAAGAAATCTGTCAATCATTCGAGAACTGTAGCGAGCAAGCGCGAAACGGGCTGAGAACAACAACAACATCAAGAAGTTCGTCTTCGTGGAGATTCGACGGTGTGAAGTGAATTTGGTTTTGGTCCTGTTGGTCATTGCTTTCTTTGCTGTAACCGATTTTTTTCCGCGGTAATGTGGGTCTTACGTTTTCCTTTCTTCTGGTCTTGCGTTTGTCATGTTACATGCGGTTTACTGCGCTAAGAACGAGACCAGTGAACAGTCATTGTACATGTACATGTTCGTCGATGCCCGACCTTTTGGCTCACTACAGGCTTTCAAGCTGTGTTTCTTTTTAGAAGACCCATACGACTAGAAAAAGTGCCAACCTTCCAATGCGTATGTAGAAGAGTTTATATTTTCAAGTGAAAGGCCGAAAATTAATCCTTCGTGACATTAAAAAAAGCGCGGTGGCCGTGGTCAAATAGAAGAGTTGTCAGAGTTGTTTACGGTTTTCGTACACGTTTAAGACGAAAAGAAATGAAGATTGAGATTCTTAATTCTTCATCCTTGATTGTGAACTTATCCTGGCAGAGTTGCGTTGGATGATTGAGTGTCATATGGTCAAATCTCGTAGTTCATGTAGTTTGTTAATTATGTAATAGAAGCTAAATAAATTTCGCCAAGAGATCGTTCACTCTTGATATTCTTTAATAAGTTCTTATCTTCGTGTGATTTAATTTAAACTTTACCGTAGTTTTTAAGAAATGAATATAGGCAAATGAAAGGGTAATTATTTTGTGTGTTTGGAATTCTCTTTTCATGACAGCAGTCACTACACTGCCTTCAGTTTGTTGTTTTGTTGTTTTGTTGCAAACAAAGAGGGAGAAATTATAAATATTTTATTCCAAAAGCTACACTACCCACTGGAACAAGAGTATGGTTTAAAACGATTAGCTAGGGTCAGAAAATAAATGTTCAAGTTTGCATGTTTTGACAAGGACTACATCTGGCTAAATATGCTTCAAAGGGAATTTCTGAAATTAAAAAAATGATGACATTTCTATTTTTGCCTTTCCTTTTGCCATATGGTTGCATGTAATGTTTTACACATTTGGACATCAACCTACCAGGTTAGTTTGTGTCTGTGTAAAAATGTAGTTTACTGTTAATGAAATCAAAGTAAAGCCTCTCAGCTTTAAAATTGCCTTGTACTAGTGGATATTGAAAACACCATAGGATGCCTTCGAAAAAAAATGTAAAATGATTATTAAGATAATATTAGTTGCAGTCAACAATAACAGTTAGAAACTTGTGTTAAGGCTTGCAAAAATATGTTTCAGAGACCATAAGCCTTCACTGACTTTGCTGTTACAATAAGTGGTAAAAGGGAGTTAAAATGTGAGATCACCTCCCTGGGCTTACACTGAAAGAGAGTATGGGTAGTAGGACACATTGTGCATTTCCCTACCCTTTTTAAGCCAAGAGACATTATAATCCTGATTCATTTCCTTTAGCATACAGAATTAAGGTAGCTTTTAAACTTAGAAACATGGCAAAACTTGGGGTAAAAATGGTGGTACCAATAGACTGTACTCTATAGACCACAGTGAGGTCTTCTTCAACCTTCACAACCCAAACAGACACCTTGTTCAAACCTCTAAAGGGTGAAATGGATGGTCACCACCCTAAATCAGCAGCACATACCCATCTAGGCCAAATAAGCCAAGGGTAGTATCGTAGAAAGAACTGCTGAGAGGATAGGGCTCAAGCCCAACAATAACTTCTTTTGATGGTTGATAAAAAAGCAATTTTACCTTGTATAATTTAGTTGTAAATCAGATTCATAACTTACACAAACAATAAACTTAAGTTGTATATTTTTCAAGCCTCTTCTGATTGTCTTTATAAACTTTGCAAAACATTCACTTTTGTTTTTTCTGTTTCTCGGTACTTCAGTCCTTTGAGGGATTTTCTCAACGCATACCCTTTCCTGATGTACTCACTCTTATTAGCAACTAAATTAGCCTCTTGTTCTTACACTAAACCACTATTATCATTCAAGTATAATTCATCACTAAAGGGTACTTTTTGTACCAACAATTTCAAGGAAATACTTGAACCGAAGTAACTATCTAATACAAAACTAATAAACGGTATTGCTGTTGGAAATTTATTGATTATCACTCCAATGACATTCCAGTGAAGGTTTTGAAGGTTCAATGAACCCCTCCCTGCAGCCTTTTGATATTAAAAATAGCTTATACTGACAGACCCAGTATATCTGAAGCAAGTGATTGGAACATTTACCCTGGTTTTTACTAAATTGGCCCTTTATTCTGTATTCACGCCCATAAATATTTGTTGTGCCTCCCGGTGTACACAAACAAACTTACGAACAGCGAAGTAGAAAACCAGTGGTTTAATGAACATTCACATATGACTGTTGCAAGACCCATACCAATATATTGTGCTCGTAGCATATGTTTAAGATAAGGAACTTAAGAGAGTTTTAATACCACTGTAAGTGGAAAAATATAAGAAGCAATAAGAGCAAGATGGACGCTCGAAAATTCACGAAGCTTAAAAATAACTGAACTTGCCGAGATCCCGAATCACGATAAGTGAAGTCACCCATGAACTTTTCACAAATCACGCCTCCTGATGTCCAAAAGGTCCATTAAAAAAGCTCATAGAAACCTTCTTGTGATATTTTTTCGCGGGAAAACTTAAAACCGAGCAAAAACTCATCGTCCTTCCATTTCTCCATCCTCCGCCATATTTGTTTTCAAGGAAAATTTGTACTCAGTTTCACTCGGCCGAATTTCTTAACTGGGGCGATCATGTAAACTCGGTTCCAGACCTCGCTGCAAGCCCCCCTGGATACATTTTTTTGTGGAATAACAACATGAAAATATTGTAGCGGCGGTGACAAAAGGAGAAATGCTAGCGGCCACCAATGCAGTTGAAAATGAGCAGCAGTGAAAAAAAGTGAACGAGACACGTACGACATTTCCTCCAAAAAACGTGTAACTAAGAAGTTTCTGGACGTTTCACGTTGTAGTCGTGCAAAACAACATCAAAGAAACGTACAAAAAAAAAAGTGTGCTGCACGTGCAAAGTCGCTTTTTTGCTAATCAGACCTATTGTTGTTTTTCACCGTTCTCCGGCGTTGCCTTTGCCGCTTAGCATTACACGATTTTATATTTTGTTTGAACAAACTATAAATATTATTGAAAACTTCTCTTTTAGCCCTGGCTCAATTTATAAGTTAAAGTAATGCATGGTAACTTATATCATTTTAGGTGATTCTGGTAATGTGCTTGAAGGACTCTATGTTGTAGATGGTGCAATTCTTCCAATAGCTGTTGGTGTCAACCCAACTCTTACTATTTCGTGCCTGGCAGAACGCTGTCTACGACTTCTTGCTAAAAGAGAGGGCTGGCATATAGATTATGACACGTTCAAGCCACTGGGTGAGTTCTATTTACCGTACTTGTTTTTAAATGCTGTAGGTTGCATAAAGTACTACAAGTAAATATTTATCACAGTTTGTAGCGGAGAACCGTGCGTAATAAAATTTGGTTATCTTTGCGTCCAAGAAATTTTGGTTTGACAAAATTGTCCGTACGTACACCCCCCCTGTCGTGTTAGTGGATTTGAAATGTCACACTACACTGTAGCTACATGTCCAAAGCATACAGCTGTTTCGAGAGAGGTTGTTGGAAGAAATGTGCACGTGACAATCCCAAAAGGTAATATGGGATATGATCAATACACTGTCCCTAACGACTGAAGCTGTCGAACCTACTTTTGTTGATTTCTTTAGCACTCGCAAACATACGTCCGTGGCCTCCCGTACCATTCTTTCAAATTTCGTTGAAGAACAGTGCCCTCAAAACCACCCACAATACCCGTCGGGATTGTCGGCTGCACTTTTTCCGACAACCGTTCCCGAAATAGTTGTATACAAGCTGTGTTAAACTTGGTATTGGACACCCATGTTGTGGTCAATTGACAGTTGTCAAAATAGTTTATCCGGTGACCAGTGTCACATGACCGTATCGTTTCAGGTGTACAACTCGTTGAGGTGATGTGTTTTCTTAAAGTTCTCGGTTAATCAGTTATTGTTTTTAATGGATCACAGGCTCAGGTCAATTTGTCAGGAAAAATTCAGTTTGCTTCTGGTTTGTGGCAAAATTGGAGTTTGAAATCACAAGCCATAGTCATTCGGTGGGCTGTAAACACTCTGTGAACGTCTCAGGACTCTATATTAATAATATTTTTTTTGCAGATCAAACTAGCTTTGTCAAACCAAAGCCGGGAATTCGCTTCACAGAAAAGATGGTGGGGACATATGAATCATCGAGCAACAAAGGCAAACAAATGCCTTGTGAATTTACACTTACCATTGAGTCGGATGATGTGGAACAGATGCTTAACTGTGACCCATCTCACTCTGCTAAAATAAGTGGAACAGTGACATGTCTGGCATTATCCTCATCTCCACTGACGGTTTCTGATGGTATGTGCACTGCTTTTGTTGTTGTTGTTTTTTAAATGTGTATAAGTACATTACCAAGAGAGATTTAGGGTTATCTAGGGTAACACCAAGAATAATACCGTGAAAGGTCTGTCAAGTCACTCCTACGATTTCAAAAGGATTGATCTAACTTCAAAGGGACCTAAATAAACGAATATTGCGTTTAAGCGTTTAAGCGCTTTTTGTCACAAATGCAGCGCTTATTCCAGTAAATGCAGTGTGCTCCTTTTTGAGAATCGATCCACAAGGGGTATTTTCCGAGAAGAGGTCCCACGAAATCTACTTTTTGCAGGAGAATTTGTTGTATGCAATATCTAAGTTACGATATGTGTAGTTCCATTTGTCACTTAAAGTTATTTGTTAGATAGAGTGTAGAGTTGTACATACAGTGAACACAGAGAGTAGATCATGAGTCAAGCGTTCGCCTACAGGAGCTTGAAAATACAAGATTATAAGACCGTCGCCTCAGAAGTGATCGCGGTCGCTTACGAGAGGTGTTAATTTACGAGACTGGTACCAACTATAAGGCTTTGACTGAAAAACTTTTGGTCTTTTGGATTGATGGTCGCTTACGAGAGGTGGTCACATGTGGAGTTTCCACTGTTTTTGTTTGTGCTATAATAATTTTTTGGATTACAAGATATTCTTATTATGTAAGCTTTTGATACAGAAGCATTTTCAATAATAGTGAAGTAAAGTTTAAAGAACCCTTGTATAGAATTGGATGAACGGAGTGTCTCTTTTAGAGAGTTATTACTAATCCAGCAGAATGTCTCAAGTGTGAAACAAAGATAAGAATTTTCAAGTCCGTGACAGGATTGGAACCTATGACCTGTGAAACACTGGGCAGGCGTTCTATCTGATTGTTAAGCCACGGGGAGACTCATGAAAACAAGGCGATTAACTGGTGTGTCTCTTTGTTTTTGGTAGGCCATTTTCAGCTGTTCAGTACCAGTAAAGAGAACGTCGACACCAAGAACATGGTGTATAAAATGACTCTTAATGGAGATGGGGGCAGGCGGTTTTCCTTTGAAGGTGTCAAGTATGTCCACAAGGACCATTTTGGTGAAACTGGATTGAAAGATACCACAACACTGTTCGTCAAAATCTTCCGCCTTGGTAAGGAAGAGCCCTTGGGCAACGCAACACTCTACATAACTGCTGCCAACTTTGCTAAGCAACTTGAGACAATGGAGATCATTAATACCCAGAGCACACGTGAGAAGCTGTATTGGATAGCACGTTTTGGTGCGTTCTTTGCTAAAACCCTCTGGGATGTGTACGGTCCAGTCTCCTCGTTTGATAAGTACTTTAACCCTGATGCTCCGCCTAGGAAGAAAAGACCTCTGGAGCTGCGTGGATGCCTTCCTGAAGTCTTCAACTGCACCACTGAAGACAAGGTGAGTTTTTGTAGGTTTTAGGGTTGCTCACTGAAATTTTCCAAAAAATGTAATTTCACGATCGTTAGTTGGAAAAATTGCTTAATTCTTTGTGCGGACGAAATGATTCTGGGCCATAAAATAAATTAAAGTCTCTTTTCAGGATAGGAAAATGAGCAATTGGGCTGGTTTGAAGGCCCCGGCGGCACATCTCTACCCCAATTTTCCTTGCGCTCCCCGACGGCGGGAAGATAGGCCATACCGCCAGGTTCTACGTCTCCTAAACGGTTCGAATAGTAATGTTTTTTTTTTTAACAATCCCTTCTAACTGATTGGGAAGCTTGAAGAAGACAAGGGAGTACTCACCACCCAGGAAGGCTTTCATCTGAACGGAGACAAATCAAAGCAAGCACATGTTCTTGTTTTTCCTTTTCAAGATCCTGGCTAGTGGTTGCTTGCCCTTGAGTCTTTTGTTCCTTCATTCAACTACATAAAATTGTTATGTTTTCAGTTTGAAATAGCATTGACTCGCTACAATGGTGGCTCAAAAGGCCCAGTTGTAATGTTTCACGGAGCTGGAGTAAGTAGTGGAATGTTTAGCCTTGACACAATTGACACCAACCTTGTGGAATATCTGGTGCAACACAGGTACGATGTTACATTTGCCACTGTATCCTGTAGTAACCCATTAGAGACCTTTAGATTCTAAGACGAGGACGACTACGAGGTCGAGATTTTCTCAATAGCTAGTAGTGCGCGTGCGTGAACCAGCGTCATTTTGGCGAGAAACGTGATATCCGTCGTTATTCTGTTACGGACAGGCGGGGCCTGAGAATATCGCAGAGGCGAAAACAAATTTTCAAATGTTAGAATTCCAAGTCATTTAATTTTGCCCTCGGGAGGGGGCTTAATCCCCTTCAATAATAGTAACCCTTCTATCTTTTCGTATGACCAGAAATGCATGCAACAACGAAAATGGCAAATCTGGCGAAATTTCGTCAAAGGTTTGGCGAAAATTCAAGGATGTCCAAAGGGGCCCGTTGAAAAGTGACGAGTGACGAAAATGGCAAATTGGGAAAAATGACAAATTTGGCGAAAATTCGCCAAAGGTTTGGCGAAAATTTAAAGGTGTTTAAAGGGGCCTCTTGAAAAGTGGTGATTTTGACGAAAATGGCAAATTTGGCGAAAATGACGAATTCGCCAGTTTGGTCTCATCGCCATGTTTACCATTTTGGTCAAAATCGCCACTATTGAAGGGAACCCTTCGAACATATCATAAGAAGTTCAGTCACATCTTCGACGAATTTCGCCGAATTCGCCACTTTCCAAGGGGCTCCTTTGCGATCTCATTTGGCATATAGTTACGGGGTTGACGAATTTTTGCTATGCTCGCCATTTTCGCCAAATTCGGCACATTCGTCAAAATCGCCACTTTCATTGGGCCTCTTTGACTTGTCGTTGGAATATATTGTTTAGACTTTGGCGGTTGTTCGCCAAATTTGCCATTTTCGCCAAAATAGCCCCTGTCAAAGGTCATTTTAATTTTTGCCAACCCTTTGGCGAATTTGTTTTGCCAGATTCGCCTATTTCATCATTGCTGACAGGGTTTCACTATTTTCGTCATATTCGCCACTCTCCAAGGGGCATTTTTGGTATCCAATTTGAATATTTACCAAACCCATGGCAAATTTTTGCCATATTCGCTATTTTCACCAGATTTGTCAGTTATGTCAGGCAGTTTTTCCATTTTCGTCAACTTCTCTACTATACAAGGTGCACCTCTTGTAATCTCATTTACGTTTCCGCTAGCCCTCAGGCTATTTCTCGCCAGATTCGCCATTTTCGCCCTTGCGTGCTTCTCTGGACATAAGTGAACTTCTTTGGCTAAGAAACTTTACAGTGAAACCTGTATTAAGCGGACAGTAGCCAAAGTCACCAATTTTTCCCCCTTGTTAAGCGGTCACCCCTCTTCAGCGGACGCGGACCTCTAAATAGTGGATGCAAGGGTCATTTCTATTGTTACAAACCTGTATTAAACCGATACTTGTCATTAGACTCCACTATCCAACATGCCAGGCACCTGGTATTCAAACTGGATTTCCACCGACAAATTTGCTGAATTTACAAAACGCAGTTGACTAAAGATGTATTAATTTGCGATAACATTGTCGAATACTCAGAACTCGGAAAAGAAACCAGAAATACAGACGCGTACACGAACTGTTGTAGTTCTTAAAACAGCTAGTATCCTGTAAATTCTTCGTCGGTCAGATACTCTTTTAACAGTTACAAGATAAAATCAGTCACCTTGCTATGCGTACTCGCAGCATTCATTTACCCGTTTCCCATCAGTTTTACAGGTCTGTTTTTCTCATTTCGTTTTGTTTGTATAGAGTTTGTTTTACTCATTGAATTGGTCCACTGAAGTATGAAATACTGCAAACTTATATCGTCATACTCTCTCAATCCCACTGTTCAACATAGCACGAAACATGTTGCGAGTTAAACAAAGAGTTTAGACTTGCCTGTGAAAATGTGCCTTAAGCTATCGGACGAACCAAATTTTTTTGGATGAGATTCCTTTTTCCCCTTTTATGTGGGGATACTCTCGCTCATACCTTTTCTTCCTTAATTGAAAGCGGTTGGTACTTCATGTAAGTCTTTCTTATAAGTAGTATCCTTAAAAGCTGTGTTCACCTACTGAGCACAGTTACATGGCTTCACTAGGTATGATGTTTGGCTCGTTGATTGGCGCACTTCGTGTAATCTTCCATCAATGGTTCGCAAGGACTACTCACTGGACGACTGTGCAGCTTTTGATTACCCAGCGGCTATCAATAAAGTGATAGAAATCACTAAGCAGGTATATAAACCAGAAGTGTTGGTAAAAGTGGTTGCATGCAACACAGTTTCTTTAGAACTGCTGTATGTTGACATCTTTATCATAAGGCGATATGCAGCCAATGAGCTTTTAAAGAAAAGAAAGTGCGAGGACGAACTGAGAAAAATGTCCAAAACTTGGCAGTATTAATTTATTCTGTTTTCGTCGGTTTTGACAAAATACGTGATCTCAGTGCGCAAAAGAGTTGGCATGTGTACTTAAGGGGCAATTTGAACAAAGGAGTTTTGAGACACAATAAAGTTTGAAGCTTAAGTTTTATTGACTGAATGGAGCCAATGCAAAACGTCTGCTGGATTGATATTCTTTAGTGTGAACTAAAATTAGCCTGACAAACCTCGCTTGAGATAATGTATTGTTTTCAATTTTGTACTGAAGAATGAGTCTAGTCAGGTTAATTTCAATTTACTGCGCTTTTCTCAAACATGTGAACTCTAAAGTTCAAAAGCCGCCTTCGCAATTGCGTTTTTCGCTGCCGTCAATCATAATCAACACAGAATTGACTTAAAATAGCAATATCCTCATGGCGTAGCCCCTTAAAGCCTGGTGAACGAATTGGGATGATGTTTGTATATCTTCCTGCAGAAAGACGTTCAGGTGGTGGCGCACTGTGCCGGATCTTTGGTGTGTTTTGCTTCTCTCCTGTCTGGCGCGCTTGAGGGAAAGGTCAGGAGTCTGGTGGCGAGTCAAGTGGCTGCTAATCCCATTCCCTGCTCGTTCAATAAGTTGAAAGCTGGGCTTCATATTCCAGGAGTAATGGAGGCTGTCGGAGTTAAGGGATTGACAGTTGACACAGACGATCATACGTCCTGGGCTGGCTGGCTTTTTGATAAATTTGTCAAAGGCGTTGATTATTTGTTTTTGCCATATGAGGAACTTTGTCGTAACCCTGTTTGCCACAGGTATGGAGCAAAACCTGTAGAAATGTACTTTCAACCTTAAAGACAATTACCGTTTGAAGTTTCCCGTTGGAATGTTTATAAGCTCACTACCAGGCCCTGGTTGTTTAATCGTTGAATGGCGTTATCCAACGGATAAATCACTATCCATCGGGCTAAAGTAGTAGGGAAACCAATGATGGTACCGACTTGATAGAGATTTAGCCAGTGGATAGCGTTTTCCACCTTTCAAACAATTCAGCCCAGAAAGTTAGTAAGTTTTAAGTATAACGGATGGGATAAAGGGAAATGATGTTTATATGTTTAGAGATATTATTAAAGTAGGGGCACCCAACGGCAATTTTCGGAAAATATCTGTTCGGAAGACGATTTGAGATCTAGAATTTTCGGAACATTTGTTGTAAAATTTCTTGCTTGCCTGCCTCTCCTAGGATTTTCGAACAACTACAATATGGTATAATTACCCATTTTTAACGGATTTTGACCCTAAAAAAGGCCACCTAGAATTTTCGGAGGCCTTTTGCTGGCTGAAATTTTCGAGAAGGTTAGTTTTTATCCCTATAATTTTCGGATCACTAGACTTTCAGCTAGGAAATCCGAACAGATGAAAAGCTTTTAGGGGATAAAAATATGCCTATATCTACCGTTTAAATACTAAAACACGTTCAACCATGCTATGTTAAGCGGTTTTGAACTATATCCTCGTTGGGTGCCCCTGTTAAAGATATTATATAAATGTGGTGTCACTACAACCAGCTGCAAAAATACTTGAGACATCAGTACCTTATTTGGGCTTAACGGCCTATCAATGATCTTGTAATTGTGATCCCTCCCTTCCCCTTGAGAAATTTGCTAACAATACGAGACCATGCTCAAAACTTGAAGGAACGAGTTAGGACGTGACTTTTATTTCTCATAGATGTGTGCCTATCAGCAATTTTTAATAAAACATGAAAACATGAAGCCGGTTTTTTTACAAGTGGTTGTAGCTTTGGGCACGATGAATTCGTTTATCGCATCTCTTTCATAATTGAAAAAACCTTTTTCTCTTGTTTCATGTCAAATTGAGCAGAATAACCTTTACTTATGGCCTTCTATGGGAACATGAAAATCTCACTCCACTGACGCACGATACTCTGCACGAGTTCTTTGGCTACATAACAGCAGAGTGCAGCGCCCAGTTGGCTCTGACGATGAGAGAAAAAAAGCTGGTTTCAGCTTCAGGAAAAGACATCTATTTGCCTGATGTGGACAAGGATGATCGGATGGATAGCGCAGCATACAGGAAGCATATTAACCGACTAGATATGCCAATCTGCTTTATTGTTGGTAAGAAAAATTTCTCTAAAGTCAACTATGAAGAGAATGGCTTTAGTTTTATCGTATGTTCATAATAAAGAGATTAGGAAGGCAAAATGTCATGGGTTTATGGAAACGAAGACCAAAGTTGATGCATTGTTCAATATTTTGTTTTATATTTATCATAAAATTGGAAATAACACAAGAAAAAAATGCTTATTGCAAGATGTACAGAGTTATATGGCTCGGGTACAATGCGCGTGGTAGTATGTGTCAATTTGTACATTTCGTTACTCAGCCATCCTTGATCAATCAGACATCCAATGCCCCGCTTTTTTGGTGCCATTTATTGTTGCACTGTGTATACCACATGCTCTTGACTTCGGTGGAACCTGTGTTCAACGGTCGCCCTGTTGATTTGAGAACGTGAGGCGCCCGCGTAATGCGGGATCTTTAAAGATACTCACTGGGTATAGAAGACAAACAGATTTACCCGTTATTCATTCATACTTCTGTATAATTGTGCAACATCGGCGTAAGATCCTCAAATTTGATGATTTTCTGAAGAATTGGAAAATTTGGAAGGACGGTTTGATCTAAACAAGATCTATCTACTCGAGCCTCACATTCACCCAAAAGCTAGGCAAGTACACTATTAAGAGAATCACCGTGATAATTGGTATTTCTGACTTCTATGCTTCATTGTTAGGAGAGAAAAACAGCTGCTATCTTCCTGAGAGCACCTTGACTACATTCAACCTTGTAAAAGAAGCCCACCCGCATCAAGAGTATTCTTGGATTCAGATTCCTGGCTATGGGCACTTGGACTGCATTTATGGAAGAGATGCAGTGCATGATGTTTATCCGCACATTTTAAAGGCTTTGGATGCGCATGCTCAAGATGATTTGCATCGCGATAAGGCAGCTCGTCGCCACGTATTGCGTGCTCTGAAGTCTCTGGAAATCAATCCAGGTATGATTGTCATGAACCTATATGTTAAGCCTCATACCCCCTCGGAGGTAACATTGTTGGCTCCAAATCCCAATACACAGATCAGAGTAATCTCACGCAAGATGATTTTCTTTTTGCCGGTGTTTACTCTCCTGTTGTATTACCGAAAGTTTCTCTATTAAATTTATCTTGTAATCTAGTCTGTGATCTTGTCATTTCTTATAGGAATCATTGATTCAACTGACGCACCTCCTGCTAAAAAAACAGACTTGGAACTTCTGTCTAAAAGCGAAGTAAAGTTCCCGGATGTTGATCCCGAGTCATCAGACATGACTGACTACCAATCAGATGATTCAGATGATGACGATTCTTCGTCTCTGGAGCAGCAGGATCAGAAGAACATCTGGGATGAGATTAATAAGTTGACTCCTTTGGGGTCAAAGCAAACATGGCTATCAAAGCCGAATGTGAATGTCCCGCTCAAGAAAGAATCAAGGTTTGTCGGTTTTATTTGTATGCGTTAGTGTAAGGTCAAGATGCCTCAATATTATTGGCCAAGTTCTTTTTTCGCTTTTTTATCGGTATAAATATGAAGTGCAATAATATTCTAAATTCGCAATGACCGGAGATTGTTTTAAAGGCGACAGAATATCTATAATGGAAAGGATATTCCATAGTTTGTTTTCTTTTTTTGGTGGCTTTCTCGCCTCAATGCGGACCATTTTCCATATTTTAAATTTCCTACTTGGCTTTGAGGCTTGGAGGAATAAAAGAAAAAAACTAATATTGAGGACCAGCAGTGAATAGTACATTTCTTTTTTTTTATTCCCTCAAGCCTCTGAGCCAAGTAAGTATGAAATGGACTCGTGTAAAGAATGTTTTTCGACACGAAAATTGTGAGACAAGAAAGAAGAAAAATAAATCAGTAGGGATCTATTATTTCGGAGGCCAACATCCAGCTATCTAAGTAACCGAACACTGAGCTTGGTCAGTTAAGGGTTTTTTTCTGTGGCCAAGGAAAAAGTGAATAAGTGGATAAGTGCATCGGTTACAGGACATTAGACAATTTATAATTATGTAGAAGGGCGAATATCTTTATATCTGGTTTAGAAGGTGGTTGCGGTAAATTAACCATCTTCTTTTTCCTCATGTTTTATTTCATTGGTTCGTAAGGTACGACCCCTCTATCGACAGTCATGGAGAAGGGGTCACTGTGCGAGAAATGGACAATCCTAACCATCCAGAAAGGAATGTGATCATTAGCATGAGCGACCTTCATTTGGATAGCATCTGGAGTAAGAATGAAAACAACAGAATCCAGACCTTTCTCAAAGACTTAGTAGAGCTTGCAAAGGTAAGGTATAGTACGGAGACTGAAGGGCTGTTTTCTGTAGGCAACATTACAGGGTCCGATAACGCGAATGATGCACGGCTAAATATTATTTAAAATTTGTTGCCCAATAAATTGTGTACTTGCTGATGTCGTAGCCTTTTGAATGAGTAGTTCAGGGTACTAGCTTTCGACGAAACGATTTTTGGAATCCTTTCGGTGGACAAGCAGTTTTCTTAGTTAGATTGGTCAACGGTATTCAAGGCAACTCTAAACCACTACGCCTAACGCTTGTACCCAGTCTCCCTGGAGTTTCTGAAGTGGGGAATAGGCCTTTTTCAAAAATACCATAATACTCTTTTTTGTCCCTCCAAAATTTTGCATAAGCATTGTTTCCAATTTCTCTTGGGGCGATTGTAAGTCCCAAGAGAAATTTAAAACAATGCTTATGCAAAAGTTTGGAGGGACAGCAAAGAGTAATAGGTATTTTTGAAAAAGGCCTATACAATGATTTTGTTACAAACAGTTATGGTGAGTCCTGGGACTCATCTTATGAAAAACCATGAGTCCTTGTCCAGAACCAATGAGCGCCAGATAAAAAATAAAAATAGAGTTCTAAATTGAACATGCTTGGGCCTTTATGTAACCAAACAGTTAATCTGAAGACAGACGCCAAAACTATATATTACAGTATACTGAAATTTAAATATCGCCCTTCTATATATTTAGAGCACAAAAAAGACTAAAATATTTATGCATCTTTAAACAACAGCCACAGAAATCAAACAACCAATATATTCTACCAAAAAATTTCCAAATAGATGGATCATTCGCTTGCCATGAATTAATTTGCGTCTTTGGGGATTTTTGTGCGTCAGAGACGGAGGCCGCGCAGAGGTAACAAAATCACTGGAAATAGTTACAAATTGCTCAAAAGATGTTGAAGTTTTTTTAGTTGCCGGAATGCTGTCTTCAACACAGTATAACGGCGTAATTTTCTTATGTCTCTTTGGCAATAACCCTAAGATAATTCTTATTTTTGAATTAAGGTGACGTCATGAGAAAACCAAGAATTCTTATAATTATGGATTGTAATTGGACCTAAAGGAATTACGGTGTTTAAATGAAGTTACCTCACCTTACCTAAACACTGCAATTTAGAGCAAAATTTACAATTAAACACCTCTATGCAAGACAATGAGCATTTCTGTCCCTGTAATATTGGAGACCCCAGGGGATGGGCTACATCATATGTTAAACCGTGTGTCATTGCCTTAATCTTAGTAGCCTGCTTCGCAGACATAATATTACCTCGGTTAGTAATATCCGGCGAAGCAGCACCGATATCCTTGTTCTAGACCCTGAACGAGGTAAACGATTTACCAGAAATGCGTTTCGAATTTCCCTTCAATAAATCGACAATGGCTTTTTAACAGGCCAATCATGCCACCTACCCGAATCCTGTTACATATTTCGCCGTTGTTTTGCAGACAGATTAGCTTGCGAAAACAGCCCTTTCTCCTCGCTCTTCGCCGCGGGGACGTTGCGCGAGGAGGAACGTCTGTGATTACGCGACAGAAATTCCATACTGATGAAGTAAAATATGTCCAGAATCCGGTCATGAGCGCTGATTGGACGACGGAGTAGTTACATTGTTTTAGCTACTGTTTACGAATGACAGAAAAAAGACAAGACTACAAAGATCAAAATGTAAGCGCGATGAATATATAACAAAACAGTCGGACTATGTTCTTCTCAAGCAGGCGAATTTGAGTTTTGCTGGAGCTCGTTCGCAAGAGAAACGTAAAATTGAAAAAAATTGTATTTGGAACACTAGGACTACCGGAATTATTATGTTAACACTGATCTACGTCATCAGTACGGAATAGCGCTTTACTCTATTACTAAAAATAGGTTTTGTCACCTTAGACCCCCCGCGTGACTCAGACAAATGTTGCATTCTACTCCAAGGCTTAGTATGGGAAACATACGTTTCCGACATGAAAATTGTTCATAAAATTCGCAGTTAGCGTTTTTAAAATGTTTTTTGAGCATAATTCCAATATATAAAAGGCACTACTGCTATTGGGAGCAAAGTCTGGTCCAGTAACTCAAATAAATGGTTAAAATCAGAAAATAAAGCGACTCGATCAAAGAAGGCTACTGAAATCGGATTCCTAGCTCTGTATCTTAGGCAGAAAGCACCGCCATGCACTGAATCATGACATGACATTATTGGCTGTGTAATAGTCCAAAACCGAAATTGCTAAAGAGAAAATCGAGTTTGGATGTGCTTCTCGCAAGCCTGTGACAGAATATCTAAGGTGAAAAGCACACCAACATTAGCACAAACCGGAAATTGTATAAGTTTGTGCTGTTGTTGTGCGGCCAGGTAGACCATATGAATCCGCGACGATTACTTTAGTACTTTATATCCCGTAGTACTAAGTAACGTAACATAACCACTAGAAAAAAAAATTGAGAAACCTTTGCCTGTAAATTTAACCAAATGCACCGTTTCACGCACAGCTATGAAGCCCTGCTCTCCACACATTTTAGCATATTTTTTTCCACAGCAAATGTGACGCCGCATAAGAAATAAAACCACTTATCTGTACAGTTTTTTCCACGTTTAACACTGTCTTGGCACGAGCAGTTATGGGCTCCTAGCATGAGTTGATTATTTTCAGGATATTTATTATCGAAACCAAGGTACATTTTGTTTCCTTTAACGATAAACATCTTCAAAGACGACGAAAATTTGTTGCTTAACGTGACTTTCCAGACTTTCTCATACTAAACTCTTACAATGGTCAGGTTTAATGTCTGAGTCACAGCAGGGACCAGAAATTTGTGACGTCATTAGTAGAAAGCGCTATTACTGTCGGCTGAGTCGCAGACGTTCCTCATAAGTACGGAATTTACGCGCTCGTTTGTCAGACGTCATTTCGAGGAGAAACCAGTGGTGGCGTCGGCTGTTTTTTGAGGCTACTTTCCAGACAACGGTGTGGCAACCTAGCGATTTATGCATGAGTGAACTAAAGCAGGAAATAACCGCATTACTGACTAAAACTGAAAGGAAGAAATGCAAGAATACGCAAAAAAATACTGCTCGATGGATGTCATCTACTTTTTGAGGAGTATCTACAAGAAAAAGCGCCATCTCAGTTTATATCCTGAAACGGTGACGAGAAACAGGCAGTGTTTTTGAATAAAGTCTACTAGGTGGTAAGGTTGTTAAGAACTTAAAAATTTTTTTTGAATAAATGATACAACAATTATTGAATTCAACTTTCGTATGATATGGAGAATTTGCAGATTTAAGAGGCCATCATGCATACAACATTCTCTGCGCCCTGCATAGTTTTTCACATCAAAATCAGCCATATTCAATAATTGTTAATTATTCGATGTTTGTTTTTGACAGACAAGTCTTCACACATTAATACTGCTTGGAGACACTCTGGAGATGTGGTTGGATAGAGTTGATGTGAAACCCAAGACAATCGAGGAACGTATCAAAGATTGGAAATCCAACGAAACCTGCAGCCTTCTTTTTCAGAGCGTTCTTAAAATGACTCAGGAAGATGGAGTCAAAGTGTTCTACCTCCGAGGAAATCATGATCACGAGATGGACGCCGAGACAGTTAAAACACTGATGGGAGACGGAGTGGAATTCATTGAGGGGTCCCTCATTTATGTCATCAAAAGCGACGATGGACAGACGTACAGAATCCGCTTTGGACACGGTCATGACTGGGATATTTTTAACACCTACTCCCTTTCTCATCCAGATGACCCGTTGGGTGGTAGACCGATCGGGTATTACGTTACAAGGGCGGTCGCTACAGCGGACAAACACGAGAGTGAAACGGAAGAAGTATGCAACATATAAGTAGTATTTTACGGCTACTTAGCGTCTTGTTTGCCATTCCTGTACTTCCGTAGTGGCGATCAACTCCCTTCTACAATAAAAACCTGCATTAATGAATTCGAGAGCCCCTCTTTCTGCCTGTAGAGATTCTTCTGAGGTAGCCTGTGCCAGGCTCTCAAATTGTAGGAACGTTGCGAAATTATAACAAGGAGAAGGGGGCGATGGCCCTCTCTCTCCCCAGGTATGTCGCGTTTTTCGCATCCGTTTTCACAGCACGACTGCTCTGCATTACCATTCTGGAGCCTGAAACAAGCTACTTCAGTCTATTGTTAGGTTTACACAAGAGGAGATTTTTCCGGATCCGGAACAATTTGGTACCGTATTCATGTTGCCATTTATACGAAGATGGTTTCGATCACAAATAAAATCAAAAAGCGGTACCGGTTTGATCGTATGACTGGAGATTTTAAGTGAATAGTTTGTAAACGAATGAAGGCTCTTAGATTAAATGATATGTGAAATCGTCTGTTATATTCCAAATACCTTTCAGGAAAACTCCTTTTGTTAGTGAGAAATCAGTCTGAAAAGGCTCTTGAATATTATTTTACTTCTCTTGTTAGGTAAAGTATTTAACTTATGTACTAGGTGCTTAAATAAAACTACAGCCTGGATGTTGCTAATCCACAATATTTTATGCATGGGTGTTTCTGTTTTATAGTTTACGTTTCGCAATATAATACTGATTGCGGTATTTTTATTTCATTTTCAACTGCCAGATCATTATGAACATCACAGCAGAGTTACTTAGTAGCATCCGTTGTCACATCACGGAATCTTTTGTCATGGAAATGTTGGCCTGTTCCTTTGCACAGAAAAAGTTTACAAAGTCACTCATTGAAAGAGCTTTGGGTCAACCTATATCAGAAGATGCCTACATTCATCTAGATGATGGAACGGCTGTTAAGATGAAGCATGTGTTTGATTATCCTTACTTCAAGCGTGCCATTACCAAGGTAACATTATTTCCACCATATATAGCGAACCTTTTTAGTCTGATTTGCTTCTGATGTCTCACCTACTACTGGTGGTGATTTTCCCATGTCTTTTCGGTTATTTCTTTTTGGTGACGTATCCGGACCCCGTGACCCCAAACGCACTGACCACACTTCAAGTTTGATAGTAACGTTAAGCTTTCTCAAACATATCGGATACAGCTCCCAATGCCCCAATCACCTGTGGCTTTCTTCAGCTTCCACAACTTTCCTAATTCTTCGCGACGAAATCGGTACTTCTCTATTTTTCCAGTTCTTTGTCTGTTACTCGTGGATCTCCAGGGTTAGTAATGTCCATGAGCTTATCCGAGTCCAAACCATAGACTCTGGGAGGCAAAGAGGGTTACTACATACTCGATGGAGAGGACCCGCCTGAGAAGGTGGGCTGTAGAAATGAGAGTTATTTTCTGGAGTTCATGTATGTTGATGTTGCCAGGGATTTTGTTGGAGTGATTCTCCGTGTCCTTCTTGATGGTGCCAAGGGCTCCCATAACCACTGGGACGGTTGTTGTTTTGAGCCCCCACGTTCGCTCAACTTCGATTTCCAGTATTTGGTAAGCGTTACCGTGGTTTTTTTTGACTGAGGAGTTGGTGTCGAGGGGTATAGTCATGTCAATGAGAAGGCAGGTTTTATCCTTGTTCTTTAGCACAATGTTTGGCCGATTAGCTGCTATAGTCCTGTCAGTGTGGATGGGCATTATTATTATTATTATTATTACTATTTTTTTTGTCATGAAACAGTTTGGTTCCAGTAAGACTTTCAGCCTGCTCAAGGGCTCCATGGGAAGATTTAATGATTTTCTGTCACGTTGTGAAGAGGATGTTATCGTCCTTGCCCACACTCATACCTGGAAAGAGGATGAAATTAAGGGCACCAAGAACGGAGGCTCAATGTACGTCAACACAGGAACCTGGATAGATTTTGCGCACGATGTGAGTACACTCACTCCCTCTCTGTGTTCACTCGACGGGAAAAAGAACTTTTCATGTTTGATTTGTGCCGCTCTCCCGAGTCCTTTCCGAGAGAGGTGGACAAGTGCGGGCTCATTTCCCGAACAGCGGTTGTTACCGTGGTCTTACTTGATCAAATATAATATCCAGAGATTTTAAGCTCCTAGGCGACTGTCCACCAACCAAGGAGCTACGCGGCCCCTTACACATATGCATGTATCAGGCAAAGACAGAAAAACGAGGCCGCTTCAGAATTTTGATTTCGAGTTTTGAGTCATGATCTTACCTATCATTTTGTGTAAGGCCAATTGCTCTAGTGTTGTTTATTCTAAAACATTTCCAAGGGCGTAGCCAGAATTTTTCCAGAGGTACGCACAATTTTCCAAATCTCTCTAGCCCCCTCTCACTTTACAATATAACGTAGTCATGCGTTACATATCTACCTTGCTGCTATTTACGCGCTTTTTCGCGCGTTTCTTCATTCGGGTGTTAAAAAAAAGTCCATTGTTTTAGAAAAATATATTTCAAAGAAGCAAATAGAGTCAAAAGAATTGAGGAATAGATAATTGGCATTTTTATTTCATATTATTATATTTTTTATTTTCGACTTTTTCAGGTACGCACGTGCGTAACGTGCGTACAGGTAGCTACCCCTCTGATTTCACAGTTACACTTTTGTTAGACCGATATTTACGGTGCGTTAAAACATGCTTTTAAATTCTCTTGCAGTTTTCCTTTGCCCACATTGTTCCCCCGACGAAGGCTAAACCGGGCTTGGTTGAAGTCAGGCGACATCATTTAAATCCAGCCGGAGGGGTTGATTAAATATTCGATAAAATGCCCTGTAGTGAGGTTTTCGTTAGGCTGTTGAAAGCAAATAGAGAAATGTCGATTCTAAGTTAGACAAGGACGACTACCAGGACGATACTGCCTCTATACTAAGTAGTGTGCCTACGTGGCGCGTGAACCAGCGTTATTTTGGCGGGAAAAAAGGTTCCTAAACCGTCATACTCTTATGCTTAAACTACACTTACAAAACGAAACGAACAGTTTTATAATAGACTGGTTACAGTCCCATATTTTTGCGTAATATCGTCGAGATCGAACGCTTACCACGGGTGGCTCAGGCTAGACTCAGTACACTTGAAACCAAGGGGGCCTCTCTGTGGCTAATCTTACGCAAAAATAGGGGATTGTGAACAGACTAGTTTTGCAAAGTCTTTCTGTCACTAATTTGGGGACCAAACAAACTTTTCAATGTTATTGACCAACCACAGCGCGATTACTAACTGAGAGATATAGTAGGTGTAAAGTAATCAGCTTAACTTTTCACTAGAGTTACTTTTCACCAGAGATGTTTTCTTCATTGCTGTGTTGATTAACTATGAAGAGAAAAATCACGATTACCTTAACTTGACTTAAATCACGATATATATAATTCCCGAAAGCAACCACCTGGTGATACATTGTGGCCTTATGAATTTTATTAATGCTCATCGTAGTTTTACTTTGAAATGGTTCAGTTTCATCGCAATCAAATTTGTCCAATAGTTTAACTCGCGTTGGATGTTTTTTTTCCTTAATTTAACGTAACTGTGTGTTTTCCAATAATAATCTATTGTCGGCTTAGTTTTATCCCCAAAATTCTTAGAATGACAGCTTGAATCATTTATAACTGGTAGTGTCTGAACTGCATGAGATTTATCATTTAATACACTGGTAGCAAGGTTAGATTTGATTGGAGTTTCAGTTACTTATATCAGTTTGCGGGCTTTATTAGCAGAGCTGTCCGTCACGGTATTAGCTGCCATTTAGAGGTTTTTAGTTCGTCATTGAAAATCGGTAGTACTTTTAATAGTACCAATTTGTCAACTAGGATTACAATATTTGTGGAAACTTATAATCATTTTTTTTAATTATTATTATTATAATTTACAAGCCGGACAAGTTTGTGGACAAGTTGTTGTGCACTGATGACATCAAGTGTGATCCGTAATGTAATAACCAAACATTATGTTAAGGCATAATGTTATTTATGTCGATACAATATGCCTTTGTGGTCTACATGGTTGGTCTTCCGACTCGCATCAATCTAACCTCTCTTTCAAGAGCCAATCATTTCTATCGCCCAAAGGGAGTGTTCGTATAAAGAAGCATGCATTCCCGCGTTTGCTCTCTCTTCCTTTCACCATCACAGCGATTACATCTCGGCGGAAAAATTTTTTTCCCTCCCTCCCATCCCACTTTGCCATGAGTCAGCAGACCTTCTATGCGTTTATCACTTAGTTTGTTCATTGGATTAATTTCTTGCCCCATCTTTGGTGAAAATAACGTACATAGCATTATCGTTGTTAACTAATGCGTCAGTTTTATAGTCAATTAAACTGCCACTCAGACAAGTGGCCAAATAATGCCAACACTCGATCGCGAGTGGCTTCTCTGTCTGTGGTACTGTATCGGAACAATAGTGTGACGTCAATGAGAGCTCCCGAAGTTACTTTTGGGGTATCGGCATAAAATCTTTTTCTCTCCTAGACTGAGTTATGAAGAGTTCATTCATCATTCTAACTTTGGTGTCTGTGGATAAAATCCTACGGTGTTACTATTCAAATGAAATCTCTCTGGTAGAACATTTGCGTAGTGCTATTTAAATATTAGAATTTCACAAGAAGAAATTTGGAATTTTTATTTTTTTTCTTGGTGGTGGTGTTGGTGGGGGGTGGGGGGACGGTGGGAAGATTATTTGAAGTTAAAGGGTGAATACGTCGCAGAGGGAAGGTGTAAATGTCCTCGTTAAACAGCCCGTGTTGAAATTATAATAGCAAAAATTGCATCAACTGCCAAATCTTTCCACAACGGCCACCATGGGGACAACAGTATCACGGTGGCCGAGGTTAAAAGTATGCATATCCTCTGTAACAAAACGTGGCTGTTATGGAGAGGTGGGCGATGTAGAAAGTTGGCCGTCAGTAGAAGTTTGATTGGTAGAATTTTTAAGACCAGTAGGACTGTCCATCAGTATAAAGAGGTGTCGGTACAGTTAATTAGTGTCTTTTTCCGGGAATATCATAATAATGGAGGCGACCCGGCGTGAAGAACGTTGCTAGTAGCGACACTGTTACGACGGGGATTGTGTAGCCCGCTCGACCATATTGACTTTTTTCGAATCCCCCATAATAGTAGTCTTGACCGCAGACGTTATTAGGGGTTTGTCACGCATTCCTATTCTCGGTTTTCACTGGGGCAGGAAATCAAAAATGACGAACCCCAAACAGAAAGTCCCGAATCTAGTCTGGTCTGGAGATATTTCATATGCGAGATATTAGGAAAAACGTTTTACCCAAATTTACAAAGCTTTGTATGGCTTGTTTGTGTCCCCGACACCCAATTTTGAATAAGTTGTTTTTATTTAAATGCTCTTGAGAATATGCAGTCCTCCCAGGAGCTTTTGAAAACAATATATTTATACAAAGTTTAGGGGACAAACAGAGTGTATTATGGGAAATTCGAAAAACAGAGAACGGACAAGCTGTCCTGTCACTTCTCTTTTACGCATGTCGATAATGCCGATGGGCCATTCAGTTCCGACGGGGGCAACCAACGTCAGTTTTCGGAAAATATCTCTTCGGAAGACGATTTGAGGTCTAGAATTTTCGGAACATTTGCTGTAAAATTTCTTGCTTGCCTGCCTCTCCTAGGAATTTCCAACATCTAAAATATGGTATAATTGCCCATTTTCAACGTATTTTTGCGCTAAAAAGGTCACCTAGAATTCTCGGGAGCCTTTTTTCTGGCTAAAATTTTCGAAAAGGTAAGTTTTGATCCCTATAATTTTCGGATCACTAGACTTTCATCTTGAATCCGAACAGATGAAAAATTTTTAGGGGACAAAAATATGCATATATCTACCGTTTAAATATACTTAAATACGTTTAACAATGCTATGTTTAAGTGGTATTGAACTACATTCTCGATGGGTGCCCCTGTTCCGAGATGCCCGAAGCCTCTGCTAAGTGCGTAATGGTTTTTTATTCTCATGTAGATGAAACTCATTATTTGCACTTAGCCTCGTATTGAAAGTGGGGGTTTCTGGAACTCGGAAATGGCCTATTCAGGTAGCTAGTAAGTACGTAGCTCGTACAGTGACTTTTTAATGATAATCAATAATCTTTACTCTCATTATGCTTTTGTCAATGTACATGGTTAATATTGCACTCTAGGAAATTTAATTACAGTACAAGACATATTAAATGTAACGAGAATAATGTGCAAGCTTAGTCTTGTCACCCGCTCCGCGCCGAATGGGAAGCTTCGAAGACTACCAAAAACTAACCTAACTGTGAATGGATATTTAGAGTAATTACTTAACATTTTTAGGTAGTGCTTTTATTACAAAGCAAAGTTATACAATAATAGGATTAGCAAAAAAGACAGCAAAGGAAAAATTTCGTAACAAATTTTCCCTTCCAAAAAAGTGAAAGTTAATGAGATCCTCAATCCAAAAAACCGCTCGGCTTTAGGTAGTAATAAAGCTCACTCTGTACAGGTTATTTTTGAGTCAAATCCAAGTTTTGTCATGTTTATGTTCGTTCTGCAAAATCTCGTCAAGAGCACAGGTCACAGCTTGTCCGAAAACGCTCTTTTCTCCAGATTCCCAGTCACGGCATTTGATTTCAAAATGATCCACAAAACCGTGTCTTCGACAGAACTTATCTAGAGCCAACTCGTTTTCGAATATTTTCCCTGGCCCGATCCACTCCACTGATTTTAACTGTGAATCTTTAATATTCTCCGTCACTAAAACGCAAGGAATCGGCGAATAAACTTCTTGTTCGATCTTGGCTTTCCACTGCACGGCTCTGGTAAGCGATGACGGATCGCGAGGCCCCCAAAACACCAGTGCACCCTGGCTATGTTGAAAGAAGACCTTCGTCATGGCAGAAAATCGTTCCATATCCGAAATCTCGCATAGCTGAAGAACTATAGAGAAGTGACTTCTATAGTCTCCACGCCGCAACCAGTTCACTCTTTTTAAGTAAAAGTCTATGGAGTTGAAAGGGTGGATTCTAGCTGTAGGTTTAATTCCCATGTAGTCTTTTATAAAAACGCCCTTTGCTCGAGCCCCACCTGTAAACTCACCGACGCATATGATCTTCAATGGGTCCAGCTCAGTGCTCTCTTCCAAGCCCTCTAACGAACGGACGTTCCTCTTGAATATTTTCATTTCCAAGAACGTGACTTTTTCCTTCATAACCTTTCCGTCTGCCACATCATTTGCATCCGTCAGGTCCATTTCAACCGTGTGCAAGACTTCCATTCCATCCTGCGGATTTGTGGATTCTGCGACCTCCATTTCCTGCGTGCGTAACACTTGTTTGATCGAGTCTAGGACTTCCATTTCAAACCTTACTGCAATTCTGATCGATGTAATTTTCTTTTTTCTTTGTGATGACTTTGTTGATCTTGCTTTTTGTGAGCTATCCACTGATTCTTTCACGCGAAGATGATGGTTGTTTCATAACAATTGAAGGTTTTGCCGTAACACTGTTTACTTCAGTATGTATATATTCTTATGCGTCATTGCAATGGAACGTGCTTTCAGTCAAGTTGATGGGCAAATACTTGACCCCGAGGTCAAGTGAAGTCTTCATTTCCTTTTTTGCCCCCGTTTTTCCCATTTATTAGGATGCATCTTTATCAATTTTTTCCAGTTCTGTTTATATTTCACTACAAAAGTTTTCTTTGTCTAAAATTCTTTATTAGTACTTTAGGTTAATGTTTTAATAACTTTGCAAAATCTGATGACCCTTGTGCAGGTGAAGGTGAATGCAAGCTATCACATATAATATAAAAGTAAACAGCTTTTGTGTTACGGATTATTGATCAAGAATAGAAAATGAACTGTTCGTATTCTAATCACTACGCAGTAATCGTTCCAAATTATACCTGCGTGCGTGATGTAATGATTCTGAAAATATCTATTATAGTCACCTTGTGCTCTAAGTTTATTTAACCTGCAAAATGCAGCCATTTCTTCTAGCTGCTCGCTGCTAGGGCGGCTAAAGTTTACTTGTGTAGCCAGCACTTTTGCGTTGCTTCATTGACGAGTGAAAAGAGACAATCTGGGTGCAGGTAGCCTGAATTAATTTGGCCATTTCACACCTCTTCTGGTATCTTAACCCCTAGATGAAGTTACATGACATAAACTCGTCTTGGTTACATACATACTACAAAAATTACAATGAGATGCCGAAACCAGGGGTACACAGGTGTTGAGGCGACGAAAAAAATGATGCGAATATAAATACAAATTGACCTAAATAAAGGTAAGTTAAGGATACAAATGCCCCAAAAGGAATCAGTGATCTCTGCATCAGTTTGGCAGAATTTGTGCTTACACTACCCTCGAGAGTTCCCTCTGTCCATTCTTTCCTCAGTAAATTTCATCGCGGGCTCAGTCAATCCGGGAACAATTGTCAAAACGCTGGTCCACTTCCGCCTTTCCCCGAAGTAGTTGAGAGGTTTTCGCTGCACCGTGATTAGTTTTCAAAAAAGGTTGGTCGTAATTTCTTTTCTTGGTAAACTATTAATAAGCATTTATACTTTAATTCACAGCTATGCCACACTTTCCCGAAAACTGAAAGCGAGAACAAATTAACCCTGGAGACGCATTTGTTTTATAGTTAATTTCAGACGCTCTTTGGGGATGAAAATGAAGTAAGCTCGTATTTAGTTTGACAGCTGATTTGGTAATCATTTATGGTGAATATTCCCTCCCTATCCCCTACAATCAGAGACAAACCGTAATACATGTACAGACAAGGAATGTTTCAGTTTGGATTAATGGCTCAGTCAAAAGGACAAAATTTGCATGATGACGTCATTTTACTACAACTACCAGAATCCTTGAGTTTGTTGTTTTCTTGCGCAAATTAAGGCTGCTATTCTTTAATCCTCAATGGGATTGACAAATTTAAATAACAAAGCAAAACCGAAATGAATTCTGGTAGTTGTAGTCAAATATCATCATCATGCACTTGTCCTATTCCAAGCGTGCCCATGTACAGCCCCCACCACCCGGGCATTTGTCATCTTATCGGTCCTAGCTGGCGGTATTGTCTCAAAGTTTTGCCGCCATCGTGGCCAGTTTGCACTTGGAGGGAAAATCAATGTATCGTTTGAAGAGTTAAAACGAAAAGACACTTTCTTTTTGCATGAATGGTTGAAGCAGAAAGGTCTATTAAAACCTTGCGAGATATTTGAAAGCTAAAATAAACTTCATGTGTTGTACAATCTATACGGCAAGTAATTTGCTGATGAAACATTTCCATCATGATGAGAAAATACTCATGTTGCTCATCGGTTGTTTGTTTATCATTCACTATATTAAACGTCTTCGAAAATAAGAAAGGTATCATTGGGTTATTCCAGAAAAAATCCACACCCTCACAACGGAAGGCATGCTGGAAAATCTCACGGGAGGGGGGGTTAGCAGCTCTGGAAATCCAGATGAGAGGAGGGCTCTGAACCTAAAAATACATCCTCGGGGTCAATTATTTTCGATTTTATTGATGTTTCAATCGCTTCAATCTAAAAGTTTTCAAAAAATTACTGAAATTTATTATTAAAAAATTAATTGCATTTTCAAATTTTATTCTTCTTTCAAACTATAGGCTCGCCTTTTGTTACTTTTGTAGGGAGAAGTGACGTGTGATAACTTGAAGATATCAAGAAAAATCGCATAATTCACAAAAAAGGCTCAATTCAAGTAAAAGAAACAATGATTTTTACCTTGAATTAAGAAGAAAGATCAATGCTATTTCAGGGTGATTTAACACTGAACACACCTTACAAGTAAGCGTGGTTCATGATTGTTCAGCCGCTATTTTGAAAGGCGTGTGGGTAGCAGTATATTGCGTCATGTAAAATCCAACTAAGTGTCCTTTTCCCTTCTCTCGCAGTCATTTTTTAACGACAAAGAGAGGTAAACCTGAAAAAGAGGAGAACCTTTTGAGTTAACATATTTAGTTTCGAGCTTCATAATTTGTAGGGTTCAAGTTCACTCAAATGTGGACTGAGCTTATTTGCAAAATGTGTAAGTCTGTTTAAGAAGATGTGATCATGAAAATGTAATCAGCTTAACTTTCGCAGCAAACACAGAATTCACAGAAAATTGAGGCTTATTTAATAAAAAGATCATCCAAGTGCCTTATTCAAGAATTCTTCTACATTGAGTCAGTAAATTAAAATTATGGTGTCTAACAATTTTATGGAAATCCGGAGGGGGGGGGAGTCTTTGAATGTGGAAATCCTTGGGGAGGGGGGGCTAAAGCAGTTTCGGAAATTCAGGTGGAAGGAGGGGTCAAAAAACCGTGCCTTCTGTTGGGGGGAGGGGGTGTGGATTTTTCTGGAATAATCCATTAAAATTCTAGTGCACAGTTCTGTCATTTGTACTAATCAGATGGATGTGATCTTTTTTACAGTAATTATAACTAGAGGCTTGGGGCAATTTGTGTAGGGCACTTCATGCATTTTGATCATTTCATAATTAAATATGGTGTTTGCAGCTTATTTACTGGAAAATGCAGTTTGCGTGTTCATTGTCCTTTGGTGGTGCATTTGCACCCTGTTTTTAAGCCCCAGGGCATTTGTATGAATGCTCAGCCCCTCCATGGGGCATTTACAGCTTTCCCAAAACAAAATGACAAAATGCCTGACAAATGTGCAGGGGGATGGGCACGCTTGGATTTGACTGAGCCATAAATTTATACTGTTAACTTGTGCAAACTGTTTTGTGCGTGAAGGTGAAGAATCATGGGAATTGGAGTTGAACCGGTTTTATGCGCCTGGGAAAGTGGGATTTTTATTTATTTATTTTATTTATTTTTTTGTGGGATTTGCTCACTGAGATTAGAACCAAAGTGCAAGAAGGGAATTGAATAGCTGGGACAGTGAAATAACTGTGTTTGATCATCTCCAAAGCATAAACTAATTCTCTTTGTTAATAAAATGTCAGAAAATCACCACATTGAAAGATATGTTTTTTTAATCCAATTAAAGAGAAATCTCTCAGCTCCACCAAAGTCAGCATTCAGGGCTTATGTCTGATATCTCTACTTCTTGGGTACAAACTGAACTTAAACATGGATTACTGTTATATTATTATGGCTGAGTCAATTCCAAGCATGCCCATCCCCCCAGGGCATTTGTCAGGCATTTGTCATCTTGTCGGTCCCGGCAGTGTGGATTTGTCAGGAAACCTCTACCCAGGGGTTTGGCATTTGTCAATTTGTCTAGAAAAGGGTAATGTCATTCTTTTTTCAATAGTTTCACTTAAAAATATGAGTCAAAAATAGAATATTCAGATTAAGCTTTAGATATTTCTATATTAAATAATTAATTTAATATTTTTAATACTTGTGCTGTAAAAAGATACTAATTGTGGTTTTCACTCCATCATTTCCCTACTGCACAGTATGTTTTGCATCTGTCCTGCCATCGTGATCAGTTTGCATATGGATGAAAAACAATGAAATATGTAATTGTTTGAAGAGTTTAAAGAAAAATACTCTTTCTTTGTGCGTGAATGAGGCAAAAAGGTCTGGAGAAAGTCTGTGAGATATATGAAAGTTTACAGAAACTTTGTGCATTGTATGATCAATACAGCAATTGAAATGCTGACCAAATGGTTCCATCGTGATGAGAAAATACTAATCTTTAAATTAAGCTCATCAGTTGTTTGTTTATCACTCACTATAGTAAATATCTTCGAAAATATTTAAAATCACATCAGTGTGATCTTTTTTGCAATAATTATAATGAGCGGCTATACAAGCAATTTGCGTAAGGTGCTTCACGCACAAGTTTGATCAGATTATAATATATTAATTATTACAGATTTTCCATAAAGTTGGTATTTGCAGCCAAAATTTACTGGAAAATGAAATTTTGGTGTTGTCCCGGGGTGGGACATTTGCACCCTATTTTTAGACCCCACCGTGGGGCATTTGCAGCTTTTCCGAAACACAATGACAAATACCTGATAAATGCCTGGGGGTGGGGGGAGGGAGATGGGCAAGCTTGTAATTGACTGAGCCGTTACTTAAAATCAGCTTGCAGAGAAACATTTCCATAATATTAAAGATAAATTATTATTTTTGGTTCATCAGTGTTGAAGAAGTTGTCAAATGCTGAGGATTTAACATGGGATAGGAATTTTCCCCTCAGACCTTTTTTAATGTAATGAAATTTATTTGTGGATCTGTAGCCCAAATTTTAAAACCTTTTATGCCATTTTCCATTTTAGAATACCTGACTGTTTATGCAACTGTTTGGTACAAGACCTGTTGATTACATGTGCATGTTAAAGCTGAAAATGTGATGATGGATATCTCTCCCAGCTGTCCCCTTTTCCCTTCCATCCCACAGGCTATCTCACCTAAGGAGCAGACTTTTCAAATCCTAGCTAGTATCTTCAAGAACTAGTTTTTCTTATATCGAGACTTTTCTTAATGTTTTTATAAGTGTAATCCAATTCAGTGACCTGACTTTTGGAGGTCATCACCAGTCTCCTTCTATATTTTAAGTATTTATATGGCTGTATGCATCTGCAGGTTTTGAGGTCATCTTTTTCAAAATTTTTAGTTCTTTCAGCTTGAGAATTAAGGATTGAAGGATGCGCACATATTTTTGTATATATAAAATAAATAGGTGATAAGTACTGATAATGTGCCCCTACACTGCTCTAAATTAGGTGTTTTTATTTCTAATATGATCAGAAAAAAGTGTTTTATAGCTCATTTCAAACATTTCCAAACATTACCGGCATTCTACTGCCTAGCCTGTACACAGACCCTCTACAATTTTCTCTGTAGAGACCGCTTAGCACATATTTGGTAATCAATACTGCAAGGGATTTATTCACTACTGCAAGTGCAATAATGGGTGGGCCAGGTATTCTGACATTCTGCGCTTGCTCTTGGCAGTAGCATGGCTTTTAATTGCTGTTCCACTGCCATGCTGAGGACTAAATTTATTTGTATCATTTGTGTTTGGCATGGTAGTAACATACCGGTAATTATTTTAGAAACAATTAGCCATAAATAAATTATTTATAGTATTTTGACATGAATTTTCTGCCAATTTAAATAAGGATGTTACTGCAGAAGATTTATGCCTTTTTGTCATTCACTAATTTCAGACTGACAATGGCCAGTGCTATACCAGAAGAAGTTACTGAACGCTTGACTTGTGCTGTTTGCATGGAACAGTTTAAGGAACCAAAGGTTCTGCCATGTTTGCACACTTACTGTAAAGCATGCCTGGAAAAGCTGGTGAAGAAACAAGGATCTGATCACATTATAACTTGTCCTGAGTGCAGGCAGGATTCGAAAGTGAGTTAACTGCTGCAGGGAGTATTGCACAAACCTGTTTGGAACCTGCTGGGTAATTTGCAGCTTAGCAGATACTAAAACCCCCTTTTACACGCGCTAAAAAATCGGCACGGCACGCCAAACTTTTGGCACCGTGCTGACGATTTTAAGGCACAGCACTCCCAATTTGCGATGTGTAAACGTATCGGTCCCAAATGTGATGTGGCATCAGTGCTCAAAATTTTAGACTACCGCTGGAAGGTAGTCTCGGCATGGGTAAACTAGGCACAGTGCCAAAAATTGGACGTGCCGTACTGATTTTTTAGCACGTGTAAACACGGTTTAAAATGAATAGGCTTTTTTGGTCAATTTTTTTATTTCAGCTGGTTGTGTCCCATTCTCTCTAGCTTGGAAAGATTGGGACTACACTCAGTAATGATGATGACGATGATGATAATGATAATCAAGTTAACCCCAGATCAGGCCCAATTTTAGCAGTTCTGATACATTCTCTCTTACATAGACGCCTTGCGGCCTGCCAGGATGATGTTTACAAGGAGAAACGAAAATAGAGCCTGATCTCAGGTTATATTTATTGATGTAAATCAGAAGCATACTTATAATCCACCAGAAGCATATAACTCTATTCCAATGCTGGGGTTTTATAAGGAACCAATCAAAATTTACTTCCTAATAATTATGGAATTATCTTTCATATCTGAGTTGCAAATAAAAAGCTTACGTGTGACATACAAGACCTTCGTGCTTGGAGCTGTGAAGGGTAATGATGAGGCTTGTATTGTGCAGTCAAATTCGACAAAAGCTAAAAATTTATTATATTTCAAAAAAACCGCTCAGTTTTAGTTATTCCTTCTTCAGGGAGATAGTAAGGAAGCTATGTTCTTTACCGGCCAAAACAGTTTGGCAATCCAAAAGGAGATTAGGACAACCACTTACTCCACGTCAAGATACAGGGGCACCCAACGAGAATATAGTTCAAAACCACTTAGACATAGCATTGTTAAACGTATTTTAGTATTTAAACGGTAGATATAGGCATATTTTTATCTCCTAAAAATTTTTCATCTGTTCGGATTTCCTAGCTGAAAGTCTAGTGATCCGAAAATTATAGGGATCATAACTAACCTTTTCGAAAATTTCAGCCAGAAAAAAGGCTCCCGAAAATTCTAGGTGACCTTTTTAGGGTAAAAATCCGTTAAAAATGAGCACTTATACCATTTTTTAGATGTTCGAAAATCCTAGGAGAGGCAGGTAAGTAAGAAATTTTACAACAAATGTTCTGAAAATTCTAGATCTAAAATCGTTTTCCGAACAGATATTTTCCGAAAATTGACGTTGGGTGCCCCCTGAAGATAGTAAGCAAATAGTTGTTGCAAGAAATAGCGGAGCTAGTTGTACTGCTACAGCTTGTGCTGAAGACAATAAAGTGCCATATCCTTTCCCGATAACCAGAAAAGCAGATTGGGCTATTCCAAAAAATCCACACCCCCATGACAGAAGGCATGCTGGGAAATCTCACGGAAGGTGGGGGTTAACGGCTGTGAAAATCCAGATGGGAGGGGGGCTCTGAACCTAAAAATACATCCTCAGGGGTTACTTTCGATTTCATTCGTGTTTCAACAGCTACAATCGGCGACAAAATGAGTTGAGACCCTTCGCCCAAAACTGGGCTTTTTTACGTTTTATTAACTTCAAAAGGAGGAAATATAGTTTTCTTCCCCTATCCCCTCCGTGCAATGTTGTGCCCTTGTTCTAGCTGCCTATAGAAAACAACAAACACCCCAACTTTGAATAGAGGGGACAGGGGAGGGGTGCGGATTCCTTTGTTCTCCGAAACTACCCTATTTAAGTACAATGTCTCAACAATTTTGTCGCCGATTGTCTGAATCTCAAAAGTGGCCGTACGTCCTTTAGAAAGGTAATTGAATTCATTTCTTTATGCTGGGATGTAAGACCCTGGTGGCTTTTTATTTGCTGTGTTGGACTTCATCATACCTATTTTAGAACAATTAGGATAAGGCGATTTCGTTTTTTTCAGTGCGTGACATTTCGTGTCACGCTTAACCGTGCCTTGACATCGTGCAATGAGGCGCGTCGCTCACCATTTCTTATTCTCTCCTTTATCGAAACGCATCGAAACAAAGAACAAAGTGAAAAGGATAGGAAACTTAATAGATTTCTAGGCATTAAAGTGGTTATAATGGCTAAAATTGCTCTTTAGGAGGAATTTCCACGAGTAACCACGAGTAACCACGATGAGTATAAAAGAAAATAAATCTAATTATCTTTTAAGAACAAAGTTGGTTACTCGTGGTTACTCGTGGCCAGTCCCCTTCTGACCTCATAGTTTCTACTGTAAAGTACATTCTTCAAAGACCCGTATGGGTATATGGACAACGAATCTGCTGCACAGATTTAGCGATGCTATGCAGCTTTGCTGTGCGTTAGAAGTTGGAACATTTTTCTTGAAAATTCTCCTGCGCATAGCAATCATGGCTATTTTATCGTCCATCCCACCCTTGTCAAATAGCCAAATTTCGAATAAACACTTCGAACTTACTAGGGATATATTCAGATACAATATATGACCTGCCATCGATTCCTACCGATCACACTTAGTTACCAGAGAAAAATCAATCATTCCGTACGTGGGTATGCTGCGTAATGACTTGAAAACACTACCGAGTACAAAGATTGTCAAAACTAATTTTCCCTCGAAAAACACAGGAAAGGGATTATATGGGTATCTTATCTATCTTCTGAAACACGACCCGGTGTATATAGTAATCTCAACTAGTTACCATCTCCTAACCGGTGCTAATAAGACAACAGCGCGTAGATTTCGATTCAGACATGTAGCTGCTTCAGTGGGTAAGTTTTCAAAAAAATGCTTTACATTTTCAAATTCTACTATTCTTTCAAACTACAGACCTCTTACCACATTTATTTTAAGTTTCCATCCATGGGCTCGCCTTCGTGAGCTTCGTTACTGTGCGATAACCCAGTCTGCAGGATATGGCAGAACTCGACGAGATCTTGTGTATGCAGATTTAACCACGTGCACCACGTGCAATATGATTTGTTGTACCAGAACAGTGGCGGATCCAGGAGAGGGGCCCGCGCCCCCTTAATTTTAGACCAAACTGAGGCTCGAAGGGCCAAAAAAATTTTTTTTTGGAGACCAGCCTTTCCCCAACCCCCCCTCCCCCCGTTATCTCAAGGTCTGGATCCAGCAATGCAGAATACGGGTACGGTGTATGCCCATAGAGAGGCTAAGTGTTAGAAGGATGCGAGGTTTAGGTGCATTTCCAGTTGTCTTAGTTGGCCTAATTTCAAATTTTCTCGGGGGAGCATGCCCCGCGGACCTCCCTAGTGTGTTAATATTTCACCGTTCAGTTCTCCCAAAAGAAGGGCTACGAACAAGATTACAAACAACTACCAGTCCATTGATTTGTGTATAACCTCATGCACCATACTGATGAGAATGCAAAAATTTAAGCAAGGGATGTGGAAATGATGTGGGAAAACTGAGAGGTTAGGATAGATTTGGCAAAAATATTGTGGCTACGCCCCTGTACTGGGTCAGGTGCAAATCTCTTGGGTGCAACCCTGCGGCCTGCAATGCCACAATTGTGGTGTGCGCTATAATCTTTTTTAAAAAAAGGCTCATGTGCACTTGCCATACTCTGCATACTGGGTCAGTGGTATAGCGCGTCATGTAATATCCCACCAAGTGTCCATTTTCTTAGTTCCATAGTCATTTTTTCTTTACAAAGTTCAGAACCTTTTATTCAAATACATAGCTATAGTTTTGAGCTGTAATGTTGTATACATTGCCGTATATTTTGCCTGGTCTAGAAAAAAAGAGAAGTTCACTCAAATGTGGGCTTATTTGCAAAATGTGAAGCCTCTTCAAGAAGGTATGAAAATATAATTAATTTTCACAACAAACACAGAATTCGGTCAGAATTGAAATTTTTATTTAATAAACCGATCAGCTAAGTGCCTTAAAGAATCTTCTACATTGAGTGTAATAATTTTATGGAATTCCAGATGGGTGGGGGTCTTTGAAATTGGAAATCCTGAAGGGAGGGGGGGTGCTCGAGCAGTTTTGGAAATCCAGGTGGAAGGGAGGGGGGTCCAAAAATATGCCTTTCATCGGGGGGTGGATTTTTTTGGAATAACCCATTCAACATTTTTCTCTTTCACTTACGTTACAAAAGAAATGGTGAACAGCTCAATGTGTCATATTGGGTAACAGCGGCACTTGGAACATTGAATTTCATACTGGTTTGTTATACACCTATTTCAATTAAGGTTGCTCCTGTGAACCATGTTTCATAGCCTGCAGTGCACTATGGTAAACCCTTTTGTGGCGGGAAGTTTAATCGTGTTCACGTTCATTGAAATAATGGAGACCATTTGTGAAAAGGTGTTGAAGAGAGCTTTCAAGTCACATGGCTGCTAAAATTCTTAAGCATGAGCGAGCTGAAAAATTTCATTTTTAAAATCTCATAGTAAAAAATTAGAAGCCTCTTCTTTTAACAACATTAAATGAATAGGGTTTTACCACCTGATTAAGCTGCATTTTTGCATGGGCCAGAATGCTGGTTATTTCAATAAAGCAAATCAACGCTATTATTTTTTTTTATTCAGTTTTAAAAAAATTGCCTCGAAAATAGATAAACACGTAATGTTAAGTTATTGATTGTTGTTCAACAAACGCCTTGAATTTGTTTTTTTTTTTAACTCCATCCAAAATTCCCACGTGCATGAGCCAAGCAAACTCGTTGAAAATTTGCAGCATTTGCATATTACCACAGAGAAAAACCTAACCTCAAATCACTGCCTAAATTAAAAAGCCTGGGATTCAGTGTTTTGAAATACATTGTCTTAATGTTCTGCTGACTATAGCATAGAAGCGTTACCAGCGTTTGCTTTCTACGTTTCAAGGCTCGTTGCGGACACATAATAAAGACTTGCTACAATAAATGCACCGCGGGCTATGAACCATGGATCATGCATCACTCTTCTCAGAAGCAACCTTAATTGAAATAGGTGTATATAATAATTAGCAGTCATGAAGCAATCACTTAAGCACAATGCCTTCAATCGTCTGATTCCATATTTGGGTGAAAAAGAAATCCATGCCTCTCGATCTGACTGGACGGCTAAAAGACCTCAGCATAGTTCTAAACAGATCGGTGGAAGTTAGGCGCTTTGGGGTTATATGCTCTTGTGTGCAGTGATAGCAATAAAACAAAAGAACTTCAATTGGATACACCTGACGTTGTTTGACTAAACTAAAATTTTGCGGGGAAAAAGGGCCGGTAAACAGCCATATTTATATAATATATTATAATGATTATTATTTGGAAGTTCCATTAAAGGTTTTGCTGAGTACTGTTCTAACCCAGCGTGTTTTAATTCATAGGTTCCTGATGGAGATGCAAGCAAGCTGCAACCAAATTTCTGGGTGAACAACTTCATGACCTTATTAAGCATGCAAGATAGTGCGTCAGCCACAGGGAGTCCAATGAACTGTGAACACTGTGACAGTGGCGACTCCGCAGTTTCACGTTGCTCTGACTGCAGTGTTTTCATGTGTGAGTTTTGTGTTACAGCGCATAAGAGAATCAATGCCACCAAGAGTCATCAGATTTTATCTCTGATAGAAGTGAAGAAACTTGGTTCAAAGGCCCTTGTCAAGCCATCGTTTTGTTCCAAACATAAAGGTGAGACACTGAAATTATTCTGTAGCACCTGCCAGAAAACAATCTGTCGTGATTGTACCATTGTTGATCACCGTGAACACAAGTACGATTTTGTGACAGATGTTGCCGAAAAAGAAAAAGAAATCATTCAAGGTTTTCTTGCCAAAGCCAAAGTCAAAGAGCATGCAGTTGTTGATGGTATTAAAGCAGTCCAGACCATGAAAAACGGTGTCCAGAAAAGAGTCTTTGAAGTAAACAAAGAAGTTGATGCTTTTTATGATGAGCAGGTGAGAGCACTGAATTACTACCGTGCAAATATTAAGCATGAAGTTTCCACCGAGGGTCAAATAAGAGTCAGCAAGCTAGAGAACCAAGCAGATGTGCTTTCCTCTTTTTTGGCTCAGTTGAGAAGTGGCATCAGCTTTACTGATCAGGCCTTACAAGATGGAGATGATGTTAAGCTTTTGGCCATGAAAAAGCAACTGGTCCAGCAGCTCGACCAGCTGAATTCATCAAAGACCACTTGTAAACCCTGCAAGGATGACTATCTAGAGCTACAAGTGCACCAAACCATTTTGGACATGGGGGAAATAGTAAGTGTGTGTTGTGTTCCTTTTGATCCCCAGAAATGCACTGTCAGCATGGTGGGGGGAGAGGAAGGCGTGATGTACCATACCTTGGCTGGACAAGAAGTTGGTTTGTTGCTACTTGTCAAAGACGGAAAAGGTCAGAAAAAACCTAAAGGAGGCCATCAAGTGGAAGCCGTAATATCCTTCTCTATTGAGCCAGATCTTACAGGTGCAAATTCCCCAGTTCCCGTACGTGATAATGGAGATGGGTCTTACAGTTTCCTATATCATCCCGTGGAAGAAGGACAAGTGACTTTGTCAGTCAAAGTTCAAGGGCAAAAGGTTTTTGGAAGTCCCTTTAAATGGAATGTAACTTCAAAGCTTCCAGATGGATTCAGTTCACCGCAAGCAAAGAGTGCCAAACGCAGAAAGGGGAAAAAGGGATCACTGTATGATCCCGTAACCCAGCTTCCAGCTCTAAAGGAAGGCATGCACTGCTGGAAAGTCAAGTTAACATGTTTTAGTGACGAGAGCAAATGTGAGCTAGAAATAGGGATCACTTCTTACCCACGTTTTTTAGGCGAAAAACGAACAAAATGGGCCTGGCAACACAGTTCACGCAAGCAACCAAAGACCAGTCGATCAGATGGTCAAATTCCCTCAATCACTTCTGTTGAAGATAATGATGTGTTCATTGTATTCCTTAATCTGGAGTCAAAGAAACTTACAATCTACAATGTTCGAAGCAAACAAACTGAAATCTTTGCAGGGATTGAAGGGGATAATCTCTCTCCTATTATTAGGTGTGACATGTGGCAGCTTGGGTATGGAGACGAGCGGTATCCAAGACTTGCTCTTCAGTAGGTTCTCTCCAATATCCCGGGGTAGTTGTGAGTGACCGAGCGTGATCTGCATGTTTGCGTTCAAATGGCTCAGGTCGCCAAATATTGCCCAAGTGCTTCGGCTCTCGCTGACATACACACACACACACTATACATAGACGGGTTTCTGCTTTGCTTGGCTTTTTTTAAAGTTCTGTCAGTAACATTGTCATGATTTTCAACGAGCAATTATGCAAGGTTCGTTGTCCGAAAACAACAAATTGGAAAAAAAAAAGCTGTTTCGTTATTTAATTAGACACCGGCTTAGAGTCCATCTTCACGGGCTTATAGGAACATCTAAGCATGGAAGTAAGGAGGGCGGATTTGCGGATTTTTTTTTAAAGTTGTCGAAAACTATTTTTTCTCGCGTTTTTCTTCATTATGTTTTAAACAATAGAGGATAAAGGGGACAGATAAGGCATCCCCCATACTCCCTATTCCATAGGTAATTCGTCTCGAGTTATTTTTAGAATCGGGATAAAGCTACCTCGCGCGCTGCGTGGATGCTTCGTGGAGGTTTTCGCATGACCAAACGCCGTGCAAAACATGTCGGGCGAAAGGCGTAAAGAGTTCGAGAGCATTTCTGAATATTGAAGCGAAATGAGTCGGTGCTCACCCGGGAAAAGGGAATCGCTGGACTCTTTGACAACCCGTGAAATCAGTTTAACTCGAAGTTGTCGTAACCTCAGTGCTTTAATAAAATGAGAAATTTCGCCGGTCTATTGAAACCGTTCGTTTGTATAATAAAGCAAGTAGGACGCCAAGTGTTATTTTTGTTGAAAAATAAAAGACTAATAAAAGAATAAATATCAAACCAGAAATTGCTCTCTTTAAACTGTAAATTATAAATGATCCTGAGAGAATATTCAGTGTGTTAAGGATTTCCCTGCTGTACTGTTAGCTCTATACAAGAAAGGAAGGGCGATTCTTTTGTAATTTCCGTTTCGCTGACACAGCTTTAGCAGAAATCTCTCTTTAGTCGTTTTCGTCGACAAAACAAATAGCGCTCTCCGCGTCTTCTGCCATTTTTTTTCTGCGTCAATTCGTGAAGGACCCGTGGCTCTGAACGTGGGTCATCCACGCGGAGCACATTCGCGCTATGTGATTGGCTGTTGTCTAATTCCCCTTGGGATCTATGGTCTTAAAAATAACTCGAGACGAATTACCTGCCCCCTTTATCCTCTCTTGGTTTTAAACTGTGAAAGGTACAAATCTTGAGAAAGTTTGGAGAATCTAAGAAAGAGATTCTAAAATATGTGACGACTTTAGATCTTTTTTTTTTTTTTTTTTTTTTTTTTTTTTGAAATTCCGGAATTGAATGATTCCCGTGAATGGTCATACTAGATAATTCCATTCACGTTAGAAAAGAAGAACTGCTTGGCAGATTCTCAGTGATCTCAGTGATCTTTTTTTTTGTTGTTGCGAAATTCCGGAATTGAATGATTCCCGTGAATGGTCATACTAGATAATTCCATTCACATTACAAAAGAAGAAACAAACTTCTTTCCCTGAATTTTTGAAAGAAAAGGCTCCGAATTTTCTTAGCTTTAGGACAATTGTCGCGGTCGCCTAAAGCAGTAACTTGGCATAGAGTGCTAGATGAATTTATGAAATTGAGGTGGTTCCGCTACTTTAATAAGAGTGTGAGTGAAGATTTTTCTTAACAATTCTAGTTAATCGTTTTGTTATCATTTTAGTATCACAATATATAACTGTAGGGATCTTACGATCCGACAACGGCGACGTCCAAGAAAACATCGCTGAAAAATAGACTTCGCATCCTTTAAACTTTTTGGAGATTATCCCAAGTCACCTAGTTTCTTAAAAGAAGGGAATTAGGTTGGAGCTGAAGAGAAGGGACCGGGCCTGAGTTCAGACAGAGATGATAGAATTTATCGCCTTGCCGTCTCTTCCCGTTCTCAAGTAAACTTAAAATTTACTCATTTCCCGTCGTAGTTGTGCAGGGACGGCAAAGAAATTTTCAAAAAAGCGTGAGGCACGTGCAGACTTCTAGTTTTGGCCGTTTTGTTGATCAAACCTATTGCTTTTTCAGTGACGTTCTTGTTACCGTTGCCGTCCGTTGCTTAACTAAAACTCCCTTATGTGAAAAAACGGTCAGAAAACGGTCAGACGATCTACCGTAAAATTCCGAAAATAAGTCCTGAGGCTTATATTTTTCAAGCGCCCTTTTGAGGAGCTTATTTTTGGAGGGGCTTATCTACGGAGGGAAATTTGCTTTTCAAAATCGATTCGGCTAGCCTCATAGTTGGAGGTAAATTTACCGTTTTGCTTTGTTTTACTTTGTATTTGAGGGCAATTTTCCAAGTACAAGCTCCCGGGAGGCTTATATTTGAGGGGCGATTTAACAGAGGGTTTTTTGCGTTACCGGTTTTTTGGCTCATATTTGAAGGGGCTTATTTATACATGGAGGGGCTTATTTTCGGAATTTTACGGTATTTTTTTTATTCTAGCTGTCTCTGGTACGGGGTAGAGTAAAAATGTGTATTTTTATTAAAAGCTCACAATTGCACTTTTTGATTTAGTAGGTAGCGTTTCAGACATTTCAGCTAGATTTTATGTATTGTTATCTGATATTGCGGAACAGTAGAATACTAGAAGATTTAGCTTTGTACGTACTGAGTTTCTAAGATCGACATTTTGTGTCTACACGTTTATTTACGAATACTCCCAAACACTTTGGGTGTTTAGTTAACCAAGGTTTAAAATTGTTTTGTCCATAACCTGTCTTTTGATTTTTGTCAGCCACTAATTAAGCGCGAACAAAAACAGAAGAAATTTAAAGCACATAAGGGTAAAAGCAAGTAGGTATAATTTAGGTTACAGATAATTTAGAGTTGTACTTTTTTAAAAAAAAGATCGGTTTACCGGTTAGCCTATGCCAGGCTTGCAAATATTAACAGAGTAGGGACGTAAACTGAAAGCAAGAAAAGCAAAAATAAGACGTGCGCGACCGCGTTTTTCGCGTCACTTTTTTTACTGCCGGTAGACTAAGGCAAGACTTAATTTCTAGAGGTTTTTCAGTGTCATAGTCAAGATAAATGAAGCTTAAATATGCTCACGTCAGAGAGAACCAGCCTGGCGTGAGCATGTCAAGTTGTACAACCTGAGAGAAATTAATAAAAAGTGTAGCAGAGCAAGCATTCTGTAAATTCATTTTATACTTGCCTTGGGGGACAGTAAAATACATTTCTTCAACGAATCAAAATAATCATCTTTTGAACTCTTTGTTCGCTGGACCCAGTGATGTACGACGCACCAGCAGCTTTTCATGAAGTCTGCCTCGTTTGATTCTTCAAAACAAAAAATACAAGCGTTTGCTCTAAACCTGCGAGATTTCCTCTCAAACCACGAAACCAAGCCATGATCACGACAGAAATGTTCCATACTACCTCTCTTTGAATCATCTTTCCTTCTGCCGAACACTCTAAACTGGTTGGATTAATTAAAAGCCACGAAACGCACGGGATTTGCAAATGTGTAAACTGGACAATTGTCTCTGTCTCTCTCTGTCCTCTTTGGTGCTTCTCTCAAAGAAGAAGGTTGTTCGGGAACCCAAAACGCAAGGCTACATGAAAAGATTTGAAAGTGAATCCCGCGTATCCCTCGGGATCGGTATCATCTTAATCCAAGACGGATAACGCATTCCCCTCGTTTTGTGATGACTTAACTTTTTTCTAATGGACATCCACGCATACAGGCGGTAGAGAAGAGCCTTGCGGAGGGGTGCGGATAAAACTTTCTTTGATATACACAGTATCTTTTCCAGCAATAGTCCCCAAGCACAGAATAGCCCACGTTCGCGTATAAATTAAAATTCTAACATGACTCCGAGGCTTTCTGGTCATTTTTCTATATTTGGTTTGGTTTCTTTGTGCTCAAGTCTCTTCTGGGAACTGCGAGACAATGAAGTGGTGAATTATTTGCCATTTTGACCCTAAAGCCTCGGAGTCATGATGTTAGAATTTTAATTTATCGAATGCGGGTTATTGAAATATAACCACTTCGTTCGTGCTGTTCCGAAATGTTGGTTTTGAATGTTTGCATCTCTACGTCGTTTCCCAGAGTCCTCGTTTACGTCCTCTGGAATCTCAAACTTAAAATCAATTAAAGAAAAACTGAAAACTGGAACCTTTCAAAGAGAGTGAAAACTTGCGATGAGCGGTCTACATTTGCAATATCAATACCTTTTCTCCTAAATATCTATTTCCACGATTTTAGAGTGGAAAATTACTTAATTCTGTACGCAAAACAAAACAAACCAGGGTCAGAAAGTAGTGTCTCCTGTCTTAAACAGGGTAGCGAAATGAGCAATTTTTGTCTTAAACAGGGTCGGGGTTTGAAGGCCTCGGCGGCACACCTCTACCCAAACTTCCCTTGAGTGTTCCCCCCGGGATTTGAGTAGTAGAGTGGATTTGAAGCCTTGTTGTTTGAGACGCGATTAAAGGTGGCGAAGTCCATTGACAAAGTCCAACTTGGAGTCGTGCAAATCCTGGCATATACCTCACCAGCTTAGATATGCTGATGAACACTATAGGCCAGTTTGGTGGAGATGTTGCTGTCCATATATGGAAAATTGGCCATTCGGAATGTAAAGTCATCTCTCTTATCGTATCTTAACGTAGATGCTTACATAGAAAGGTGAGTTGTTGTCACCAAGCTGGAATCTTGCGTCGAGGTAACACACATCCGTTTTGATGTGGAGGTGTCCTTAAGTTCCGATTCCGAAGGGTAAATTGTGTTGATGTCATTTCCAAATTCCTCATTGTTAACGCTGAATAAATCGTCGATGTATAAAAAAGTGTTGCTTAACTGGATAGCTGGTGCGCTGTTAGTGCCCATTGGTGTACCATTACTCTTGCCGGAAAACAAAGCTTCCGATACGCACATAACGGACATAGACGTTGTCGATAAAAAAGTCAATAGCGATCTAGGCAAAGATCTTTAATTACAGGAGAAGCAGGTGTACTTCCTATCAGACAGGGGCATTCAACGACAGTTTCCTCCTAAATACACTAAAAACACTTTTTAGGATATCCAGAGTAACTTAAGATCTCTAGATGGCCATCCTAGGGGAACTTGCTGAGTCTTTCCGAAAACAAGTACAAGGGCTATAGCATTATTCTCCGAAAATTTTAGATGCAATTTAACGTACGTAGTACGAATCGAAAGTGAGAATTTTTTCTGATTCCTCTCTCCATCACAGTTTTGAATCCGAAAACTTTAGGTTTCCTTTTTTAGAAACAGTCGTTGGCTGCCACTGCAGACTTCCTATCAATCAATCAATCAAACTTTATTTTGTCACGGTAATTCCATCAGGTTTAAAAAGAAACAAATGATTAATATTGGTACATAATTATTATTGATAAATACTATATATATATATATAAATATTATAAAATATAAATACTAAGCTCTATAATCTTATCGAAAACTTCTTAGTTAAAATGATAAATAAAACATGACTCTGCTTTACATGGACGCCGTGAGATAGAAATTGTAGCATTGCCGAGTTTTGCTTTAAATGAGTTTAGGGTTCCTGTATGGCGAAGATCCAGAGGAACAGGGGCGGATCTAGGAGGAGGGTGCAGGGGGTGCGCACCCCCCACCCCCTGAGATGACCTGCGGTTTTCTAATACAACTGGTATTCTGCAAAAAAAGAAATACTTGGTTTATTGGTGTTGAAGTAGAGCAAGAGACGAGTGCACCCCCTCCTAAAAAAAAAATCCTGGATCCGCCCTTGAGGAAGTAGACTATTCCATAATGGAGCAACGCTGTAACTAAAACTTCGTTTATTGCCACGATTAGTTCGTGTATGAGGAACAACCAGGTTATTCTCAAGATTTCGTAAAGGATAGTTCACAAACTCATTTCTGGGAATGAACATGAAACATAAATATTCCGGAGCCAGATCATTCAGTGAGTAAAAACCGTTACTGCACGATCGAATAACAGCTGGTGTCTTACATCCTTCAATTGGAGTATCTCACGTAAACTCTCAGAGTTAGAATCATAAGATGCATCTAATAGGACACGGGCTGCACGATTCTGAAGTTTTTGCAGTTCATCATTACATTACAAGGTCAAGTGAAACTTAAGGCTCTTTGGAGCCAAAAGGAAGAGCTTGCTTTTTCACTGACACAGCTTCGTAGTAGTGCTGATTTTGCTGAAAAGGCACTGGGAGATGGAGATCATATACAGCTCTTAGCAATGAAACAGCAACTTGTTCAGCGTCTAGCTCATCTTTATGCATTACAAGTCCAGTGCAAACCCCATGAAAATGACCCCGTAATCTACAACTGGATAGAACAATAATGGGGGACATTGACAAAATGGTAACGTTAGTCCGCACCTCTGCTGACACTTTCAACTGTGTTGAGTATGGTAGGAGGTGAGGAAGGCGTGCTCTTCCAGACATTGGCTGGGCAGCCTGTGGACTTTGTGCTTGCTAAAAAAAATGGAACTGTTGGGCCCACAGAACTGGGGACCAAATATTCTGTTTGTGCCATAATCAAAGAGGTCGATAGAAACCAAATACTACCTGTACGTGACAATGGTGCGTACTCTTATTTGTTCTCATATTGACCAGAGACTGATGGACTTTGTACTCTCTCATTGACAGTCGATGGGGAGGATGTACCTGGTTGTCCTTTTACGTGGACAGTGAAGCCAGAAGTGAAGTCATGGCAAGAGTTTGGTCAATTAACTTCATCTTCAAAACAGGATGGACAAGAGGAAGGAAAACATTGCTGGAAAGTGAAGTGTTTGAGACGTGTAAATGAAACACGTTCTGCATTTGATTACGAAATTGGAGTTACCTGTACGAAATATGTTGATGAACTACCCTTTGCTGATGCAGTGACCAAAGCTGCACGGGGCGATGTCAGGGGAAGAAAGAGTCAGGATATTAGAAGATGAGGAAGAAGGGTAGCCTAAGATATCGCGACACAGTTTGCTCACGTTCTGACAACGCGCCGGCAAAGTGCTCTATCACTTCCTTGCAGCATGGAGACATATTTTCTATTTATCTCAATTATAACACGAGTACACTTATAATTTACAGTCATCGACATCGAGAGGCAGAAGTCTTTACAGGTGTGAAAGGAGACGTTTATCCCGTCATTTCACCTTATAGTAGTCATGACAAACGAGATGAAAATCATTTTACCCTTATCATTTAGTAGACTGTGTTACCGTGGAATTAGCCCTGTTATCAACAGGCATAATTACTCTTCCCATTTTTCTCCATAACGTGCTGTTGTACTACTGAGAAATAATAGGAGAGATTAAGCATCGCGTTTGCGGACAATGGCAAACGTGAGATTCAAGTTGAGGCATTTTTGAATATGAGAAAAACAGCTTAAAACAATTCTTATGGAGATAATTGGTATGACTCTACCGATTTTCGTGTAGTTATAATGCAAAGTAAGCGACAAGTAAAGGGGAAACTTGGTCACGTGGTACAAATTCTACGTTTGCCGTTTGCCGTAAATGCGATGCTTAATCTCACCAATGTAAGAATACAACAATTTTTTCATAAGTTGGTGATCATTATTTTCTTTTGTTCTTGATCATGATCTTTATGTGAAAAGAAAGTTCTTGTGAGGTGCTGGTCACTGTAAGGATGTTGATAGCCTGCGTGGCTGGCATAAAAAGGGGTAGGTGAGGAAGTGAAAAACAGGGTACTGTTCTTGCCTCCAAACTGCAACTTAAAATAACGACAAAACCCATGAAAACAATCTTCAGAATCCTCAGTGAATAGTCTCCTGCATGCCTTCGTTGTTGGCTTCTTTCAATTCCATTAAAATGTCTTTTTTCAAAAAAAACCCCACTCTTCTTAAATCCAGCTGCATTTTTTAAACGTTGTTGCTGCTAAAATCCTTACCAGTCGACCTTTTTTTGTTGCTCAAAAACTATCTTAAAACTAGACGTGAGAGAGCTTTGCTTTTTCTCTTTTCCTTTGCCTATATTTTCCTCACTGCAGTGCGAATTTGAAGCTTATCAACCCCCCTAAACACGCCAGCCGAGATGTTGCACATAAATGGAAACATACCTCTTGGCCTAGCAAATTCTGGTCGAGTAGCTACAGTCTCCTTGGTCGCTAAAAAAACAAAACAAAAATGGAAATTCTTTTCGACTGAAAAGGCGTCATGTGTGCATATGGCATAAGGTAGTCCCGGTCAAGACGGTCAACCATCCTTGCTCCGAGATGCAGGTGAACCTCCAACCTGGGGAAGAGGTTGGGTCAGGTCAACCTTGTTAGCAATTAATCTTTTGCTTGGGAAAGGCCCGGAAACTTTTCGGGCCCGAACCCAAATTTTAAATCAAAACCTGTTGAAGAGCAGCATAGTTCCTATCTCACAAAACCAGTCGTTAAATAATAGTTTCATTTTTCTGTTTTTTTTTTTTATATTATTATTATTTTTTAAAGAGAACAACAAAGTGTTGTCCATCTGCAAAATCCTCCTGCTATATCGGGTTTCTGGCTGCTAGCTGAAAACGCTATATACGATTTTTGTTTTTTGTTTTGTTTTCTTATGACTACTGTTATGGGGGGTACAGTTAAACGCCCTGTTTCTATTATACGTGAGCACTTTTCCTTGAAAATCTCGTCAAAATGTCATTCGATTTTAAAAATAAATCACTCATCCTGAAGTTCTTGGAACGATGAGTTTTTGAGAATTATTTGGTGATTATTAGAATATTTGTAATCAATAAAAGTTTGAAAGGTAAATGTTAAAAGTTAGAGGATGAGAAATATTGGATTTGACGGTAGTTAAAAGTTAAAATTTGAAGTGAATAATTAATAGACAAAGACCAGACAGTCCGCCAGCACAACAAGGTGGCCCTGAGCCAAATAGCAGACTAACTGGTTTACGAGTATACCCTCTTCTATCCTTCTTTCTTTCATTCTCAATTCAACCCTAATTCCCTAAAAAATCAACTTTAATCCCCCCTTAAACGTTCTGTCTTTTGCCATAGATGGATCGTCAGCTTTAGGCCCTTACTCGGATAAGCTTTTTGCCTTTTTGCTGAAGTCATATCAGTGCGCTCCTCGTAAACTAATTGCAACAAGATTGGAAGGTATATTGCTTTTTCAGTGAGCAACCCCTTGCCCCCAATTCCTCCTCTTGTAGCCTTACTTGCCTCTTTCTGACCTTTCTGGATCTTTCTAGCACCTTCCAGCTGTAAACGCCATCGGCACGGGGTTCATCTAATTCCCGGAAAATTTACGGCTACTCGACCATAACATTCCGCGCGTCAAGGTGTACATTCGAATCAGAGCGTCTAGATCTCATTCTCGAAGAACTTTGCTTAAAGTCTTTAAGGTATGTCGCTTTTATGTTCTCTAAATACTATAAAATGGTTAGTACTTTATTCATTCGAAGTCTCGTCAAACTCTACTGAAAATGAATCTGAAATTTTGTAGTTTCTATTTTCTGAATGGGCGCTGGCTCTGGCCTCTGCCGCATTGAACTACTCATCATATTGCTCCGAAGTGTAATTAAAATCTCGAAGGTGTCCACACAGGTGTTAGTGTATCAGTTAGGCCAAAACGCAGGAGAAATACAGCTGGCAGTTGAACAAAGTATTTGTTCAGAATCACTAGTTTCCTATTTTGTTTGTAATTAGACTGAGACTTATATATTTCCCAATATTTACTGATCCTTCAGTGTAAATAACTATCCTTAACTATCCTTTTTTCGCGGTCAGCGAACAAATATCGACAAAAGGCACATTTCATTTCTTCTAAGAAAAATACAGCTCGAAAGAAAAGCGAGAAGTAGGCTAAATTGTAAAAAAAACTGGCTAATTATTTCCATCTCATCTCAGTCACAACGGACAGATCCTTTTGTTCCATTATACCTCATTCAATGAAATGTGATAATATATTGATAAGTGGCTGTGGTTTCCTCTAAGAGAGCTTCAATTATTAGGATATATTTTATTGGAAGAATAATCTGTGCGATTAAACGGTGCATTAGGGTTTGGGCAGCCGATGCAAAAAGTGACAAAGTGAGTCCATCCATGAAATGCAAACTTCTGTCGGTAGCCTGAAGAAAATCGAAATACATCATTTTTATTCATGCTTTTCATGATCAGGTACGCGTAACATGCAACAAAGAGTGGACTGATGTGATTGAGCTGGGTGGAAAAAATTCTTGATCCGCATTCTTCTTCGTGGCCGACTTCCTCCGTTTCCTTGCACGCGTGATATTATAATTAAGATCTGAGGCCAAATACTCTTATTTTACGGTGATGACCGCTTTCCCAACGCCAGGAAAACATCTTGCGGGATATCAAATTAAAGATAACTGAAATGCTTCAGTGCTTGTAATCTAGGCCCGAATAATAATATTGTGATAAGAATCGGAAATGAGTTTCTATTATTACTCCATTGCAAGACACCATTTCCCAACTATGCCTTAAAATATCTTTGTATTCTTCTTCACTTGTAGTGACACTGTCTTGAAACACCCTTTTTCTCTCTGAGAAAACGTAGAAGATAAATCAAGCTTGATTTGGCGCTCGAGTGATCGGAGTGGCGCTAGAACTTCCAACCGCGTAGGCGCTAGGAAAGGCGGGGTAGTAACTCGACTATTTTGAAAGAAAGAGAAATTAATGTAACCTGATCCAAAAGCTCATGCAGAAAGGTTTCCTAGCTCCAGATGAGATTCGAACTCATCACGGAACCTCCGAGTTCTATCGGACGTTCTAACCACAGTATACTGGAGACTCGCAAGCAGAATCCGAATGGTCGCTGTTGCTTATCCCTTTAAGCTTTAAGAGTGATCAGCATCAAATTTCTCCTTGTAATATCAATGCTTTGTAAAACAGAGTGGTCATGAGAATTACGGACATGATCACACAAGATGAATTTGCTTGATATTTTATCAACTTCTCCCCACTACTTCTGTAGGAAATGAATAGGGGCAACAAATGAGAATTCAAATTTTGATCTTAGGGGTTTTAAGGGTTAACAATTATCTCTATCACTTATTTTAAGAGATTATAAATGTTAATAAACGAATTAAAAGCATGCAGTAGAGAAGTATTACAGACTTTGAAAAGAAAGCGTCCTACTTCATGAAAAAAGCCAACCGTACAAAACAGTAACATACAAAAGTTGTGACGGTCTACGTTAGGCATTTCACAGCATTGAGAGGTTGAGTGTTAGGTTTTTTTAACATTTACAAAAAGGTTTCCGGAAAATACGGTTGGAAAGTAAATGGAACACGACTTTTTGGGTCGTTCCAGCCGAAAATGTTCGGGGGCAACAGAACATTTTATGAAAGGTAGAAGCATTTTTCCGGACGGAATATTCCAAATGGAAATTCGTATTCCATTTTAGATACCAGCTACAGACTTTCGCGGTCGTTTCGGTAAATGGAACTGATTTGTATTGTATTTGTATTTGTATTTGTATTTGTATTTGTATTTGTATTTGTATTTTTACTCCATCCTATAGATAACACATTAGTTGAACAATATTAATTAGTACAAGGTTGATTAAACTACGTGTACATAATAATAATCAAAAAAAAAGTTAGAATGGAGAAGGGCACATTATAGTAAGACTAATTATGGCCCTTTAACAAGATTGCATGACCACATTCTATTATAGCTTTGTTATTCATTAAAACACAAACACGCACACAAGTCAATATTGAGCAAGATAATATTTTTTAAGTGCCTTTTTGAACAGGATTTTCGATGATTTATTGCGAATAGAAAGGGGGATATCGTTCCAATATTATTTTCTAATAACGGTAGGGCAAAACTTTCGAATATTAATTTTTGAGTGGGGTATGTGTAATTACTGAGCAGATGCACTTCGTGTAAAATAATTATGTAGCTCAGATACAAGAAATAATGGAAAATTACACGGCTTATTATCAGAGACATAATCATATAAAAACAAACAATTATAAATTTTAACAATGTCACGAAATTTTAATAAACCTAGATGAACATAATGAGGAGTGATATGATCTCGTAAAGGAACGTCATTCATTATTCTAACTGATTTATTTTGTAGACGTAGGAGCTGTGATAATGGTTATCATAATTATTTCCCCACAATAAGCAACCATATATGAGATATGGGTAAACAAGAGAATAGTAAATACTTGTTAAACATTGATTTCCTCGATAACTTTTTATCTTTGTCATAATATGAATACTCTTACTGACTTTATCAAAAACATAGTCGATACGGTCATGCCAGGATAGGTGGCTGTCAATATAGATACCTAAGTATTTAATTTTGGATACTTGCTCTCTCTGATTTGTGTAAATGGTAAACGCGATTAGTATAGGTAATATCATGATTTGTAGTGATATTTGGAATAAATACCACGAGTGATATTTCAAAATTGTTATACGTAATTTCACGAGCCGTTAGGCGAGTGAAATTTGAGACAATTTTGAAATATCATAAGTGGTATTTATGCCAAATATCACGTACAAATCATGCTATTATTTGTTTATACTACTACCCGCAAAAGGTTTGTAATTTTCACATGTAGGTATTTCAAATTAAGCTGAAATACCACTGCTCTGAGCCAATCAAATTGCAGAAATTTCTCATGTAGTAGTATAACGGGATGAAATTTACCAGTCCTGAATTTTGATTACCATTTTCCCAAACCGTGGACCGACCGGTTTGTCCATGTAAATGATAACCAATCTTAATCTTGATCTTAACTGGCACCACGACCAGTTGGCCACAGCTAAACAGTTTTCCTAAACACGTACGTTCACTGAATTCCTTTTCTTATTAATCCCTGTCATTTTGCTTCACATTAAAGACTGAGACGATGGCCACTTCTGTGCCCGTAGAGTTAAGGAAGAGGTTGACTTGTGCTGTTTGCATGGAACAGTTTAAGGAACCAAAGGTTCTGCCATGTCTTCACACTTACTGTAAAAAATGCCTGGAAAAGCTGGTGAAAAAACAAGGATCTGACCAGGTGATAACTTGCCCTGAGTGCAGGCAGGATGTGAAAGTAAGTTTCAAATGAACTTCAATGAACTTCAATCTGTAAAAACAACTTTTTATTTCTAGTGGAAAATTGCATGATTGTTTCCATACATGGTTACTATTAAGCCGCACGTTAATTACAGTGCTACCAACGGTTAGTTGCTTCACAAAAAATGTAATGACTGTCTTTTGAATGATAGGGTCTGTTTAGGTTAAATTTGTTTGTTTGTTTGTTTTTTTTTTTTATCAGGTGTTCTTTTTTTGTTGACTTGTTTGACAAGCTCTGTTTCAATTAGACTCATTTTACTGATATTCAGGCTGTCAAATGTAAACTGCAGACGGTTATCAGTCATATACCGTCTTGACTTCGCTCACTATAAGGCAGCATGGATAGACTGATTAAAAACATTCCCACGTGTAACCACTCCCTCAAATTCCCAGTACAATGAATAGCCCCCCTTCCTTCAGAAACCTCCAAAACTCCTTAGTCCCTTCCAAAAACTCGACCTCGCATCCTAGAGACCCAGCCTAGTCCCTAGACGTTTTTGGCTCGGTCAATCCTGGACTCTACTGTGAGCTGCAAGAGAGAACGCCTGGGGACTAGGCTGCTAGTATCCTAAATAATGACCACTCCCTTACTTGCTATTAATCATCACGAGTGTTTGTATGTTGGCTTAAATTATATGATGATTAGAAGTCAAGACATTTCCTGTTTTTTGCTTTTAGATCGACGATGGAAACGTCGGAAGTCTGCAATCAAATTTCTGGGTGAACAATTTCATGACCTTATTGAGCATTCAAAAACGCGTCACATCAACTGGAAAGCCCTTGGTCTGTGAGCACTGCAACAGTGGTGACTCAGCTGTTTCACGTTGTACCAATTGCAAAGTTTTCATGTGTGAGTATTGTGTAACAGCGCATAAAAGAATCAATGCATTTCTTGGCCATCAGATTTTGTCACTAGCTGAAGTAAAAAAGCTTGGATCAAAGGCCCTTGCCAAGCCAGCCTTTTGTACAAAGCATACTGATGAGGTATTGAAACTCTATTGCGATACCTGCCAGAAAACCATCTGCCGTGACTGCACCATTGTTGATCATCGAGATCACAAGTACAACTTTGTAGTAGATGTTGCTGAAAGAGAAAGAAAAGCTGTTGAAGCCGTTCTTCAAGAAACCAAAGCAAAGGATGTTGCCGTTGAAGAAGGATTGGAAACAGTGAAAGCCATGGAAACTCGCGTTCAAGCAAAGATTACCAGGGTGAGCAAAGATGTAGATGTGTTTTTTGATGAGCAGGTAAAGGCATTAGAGGAAATGCGGGCAAACTTAAAGCTTGAAGTGAAAACACAAGGCCAAGCCAAGCTTAAGGCACTTTGCAACCAAGAGGAAATGCTCGCATTATCACTCGCACAGCTACGGAATAGTATTGATTTTGCTGAAAAAGCTCTAAAAGATGGAAATGACTTAGAAATCTTGTCCATCAAGCAACAACTCATTCAACGTCTTGCTCAGCTCAATGCATCACAATTCCATTGCAAACCCTGCAACAGTGACTATCTTAAGCTCAAGATGAACAAAAAAATAACGGACATCGGAAAAATGATGACGCTAGCTCATGCACCCATGACGGGCTTTGCTCACCAAAAAAAAATATGCAAATTAGGCTAAGGGTAGATTGAATCTACCCATGGCTTATGATTAACTGAAACGGGAGATCACAATTCGCGCCTTCATACGACTGAGGTGTTACTTTGAAATCCTCGGTAATTACTTTTTTCGCACTTGCCGACATCCAAAAACACCCGGCGTGGGAATCACGAGACGTGTAAATAAGACATTTCTTGACATAATAAAGATGTTTTCCAGATACGGACGCGCATTTGTTGGCTTTATATTACTCGCGTGGAGACACACGTCAACTGTTACTTCTCGCGAAATAGTATTCAAGGCATGGCTCTACTGTAAAAAGAACCCGCTCCTTATTGATCGCACAACCATAATTATGAAAGGCGATAGCAAGAAAAATAACTATCACTCGAGTGGGATTATTGGAAGATCAAGAACCAGACCTTAACGAGAGCGGGGTTTATATCTGCTACTAAAGAGAAAATGGAAATGAAACACAAACCCTTTGCCGACTCAGAAAATATTACGAGAAGCTAAAGTTTACCACCCGAGAAACATTTTAATGACGGCCTATAATCTATTCTGACGGGAGGAATGAAATTATTTGCAATTATGTCGATCGAACAGTATACTATCTTCTATCTATTACTGTGTAGTCGGAGGGACATTACACAAAACGGCGTCAGCAACGAGGTTCGATGTTATAAATTAAGTACATTTACTTACCTGTGATAAATTAATGTTTACTCAACGAGAATGATTTAATCCCAGAGAAACTACGATTCCCGAAACAGGAACATTTGGAATTCTTGAACATCAGTAACTACAACCGACTTATAACAGCTTCATTTTAATAGCGACTTGATTCTGAAATAATAAACCGTGAGATCTAACGCAAAGCTCATAAGGCACGGCGAAGGGAAGGCAACCAGAGGGTTTGAAGTAATCTGGTCGCCCAATCTTTTTTCCGGCACTAGCCACGGGAAGTTAACCCTAAGATTCTATTTTACTAAAGTAATGCTTTGATTTATTTAACGTACGATAATTGACTCGGTTGTGTTTTACAAACACATTTTTTGGCAACCCAAGCTTCTTAATTAAGCCAGAGAACGGAAATTTTTGTCGTCGATTTTCATTGACAAAATCATTTGTAAGAACTAATAGACATGTGAGTGTTATAACTTTTCATTTGACGTTTTACAGTACGGATAGCTCTGTAACAAGCGGCAAGATAGTTTCATTTTTACATACATATATTAAAATCGTTTGAAATTAACGAATAATACTAATAATAAAAACGTTTTGATTGTGCTATCATGATTTTGGTTGAAACAATTTTGTCACACTGTGTCGCTGAAAGTTTATCTCAGTACCCAAGCAATAATTGTAACTAAAGTAAACCCTATGTGAATTTCTGAAAGAAAACTAAAGCAAATCAGTGTACACTCCATCGCCTGCTACAAATTATAGCCCTGTATCAAACAAAAATAATTTCAAATCACTCAATAATGATGTTGATAATAATAGCAATAACAATAATAATAATAATCCGTCATCAGGTAACAATAGCCCATAAATGAACTGACCACCCAAGAGAAACAGAACCATTTAGTACAAAATGAAAATGATAAAAATTAGGTCCGGTCATCAGATAACAACAGTCCACAAATGAACTGACTACCCAAGAGAAACAGAACCAGTTAGTACAAAATGAAAACTATGAAAATTAGGTCCTGTCATCAGATAACAACAGTCCACAAATGAACTGACTACCCAAGAGAAACAGAACCAGTGAGTTAAAATGAAAATGATGAAAATTAGGTCCTGTCATCAGATAACAATAGTCCACAAATGAACTGACTACCCAAGAGAAACAGAACCAGTTAGTACAAAATGAAAATGATGAAAATTAGGTCCTGTCATCAGATAACAATAGTCCACAAATGAACTGACTACCCAAGAGAAACAGAACCAGTTAGTACAAAATGAAAATGATAAAAATTAGGTCCTGTCATCAGATAACAACAGTCCTTAAATGAACTGACTACCCAAGAGAAACAGAACCAGTGAGTTGAAATGAAAATGATGAAAATTAGGTCCTGTCATCAGATAACAACAGTCCACAAATGAACTGACTACCCAAGAGAAACAGAACCATTTAGTACAAAATGAAAATGATAAAAATTAGGTCCGGTCATCAGATAACAACAGTCCACAAATGAACTGACTACCCAAGAGAAACAGAACCAGTTAGTACAAAATGAAAACTATGAAAATTAGGTCCTGTCATCAGATAACAACAGTCCACAAATGAACTGACTACCCAAGAGAAACAGAACCAGTGAGTTAAAATGAAAATGATGAAAATTAGGTCCTGTCATCAGATAACAACAGTCCACAAATGAACTGACTACCCAAGAGAAACAGAACCAGTTAGTACAAAATGAAAATGATAAAAATTAGGTCCTGTCATCAGATAACAACAGTCCACAAATGAACTGACTACCCAAGAGAAACAGAACCAGTTAGTACAAAATGAAAATGATGAAAATTAGGTCCTGTCATCAGATAACAACAGTCCATAAATGAACTGACTACCCAAGAGAAACAAAACCAGTTAGTACAAAATAATAATGATAAAAATTAGATTTTGCCATTAGATAACAAAAGCCCATAAATAAACTGACTACCCAAGAGAAACAGAATAATAAAGCTAAATGTTTTCTTTAAATTGAAGTGACCAGAAAACAGAAATACCTCACTGTATTGGGAATAATTTGACAAAAAAACAAACTTACCTCAAGTCTAATATCACTAATATGTA